CCCCAGCCTCAGCACCCTCAGCAGCACCAGAGTCACCAGTAACCTCGACAGGCTCGACGGCGTCTACCTGGGACACACCTGAAGGGGCAGGACCCTGAGGGGGGAGGGGGTCTACCGGGGGGGGACCTGGCACAAGGAAGAGCGGTGGCGGGGGGAGGGACGGAGTGCGGTAGGGGAAGAGGCGGTAGTAGGGGACCCACTCGTCAAACGTGACGTCCTGGGAGGACAGAACACGGCGAGAGGTGGGGTGGTAGAACTGCCACCCTGGCGCGTCAAGGGGGAAGCCAAGGAAGACGCAAGGAGCAGCACGAGGGGACAGCTTGTCCGCAGACAAGTCGCGGACAAACGCCCGAGATCCCCAGACACGGAACGCAGACGCATCGCCAACCTTCCCCGTCCACAGCAAAGCTGGGGAGGTCTCCGGCATGGAGACCCTGGGGTGAAGGTTGATCTGATGCGCCGCATACCGAACCGCAAACGGCCACAGAAAATGGGGGGCAGCCGCATGCATCATGGACGTACGGGCGACGTCCATGACCATGCCAATGCGGCGCTCAGCAATCCCATTTTGCTGTGGAGAGTCCGGAAGCGTGAAGGTCTGGCGGATGCCTCGTGCACGACAGTAGGCTCGCAGAAGGCCAGAGGAGAACTCTCCACCTCTGTCAGAGTGCAGACGCAGAACAGGAAAGTCCGAGCCGAAGCTCTGCCTGAGCTGGAGACGAGCTGCGCGGATCCAGTCGATCAACACCTCAGTGACATCACCCTTGCTGCGCAAGGGGAAGACTGTGGTGTAACGCGAGTAGTCGTCAACCACCAGCAGGAAGTAGCGCTCGTGACCCTGTCCACGGACGCGGGCCGGGCCCCACACGTCCATGTGAAGCGTCTGCAGCGGGGCCTCTGTCGGAGGAAACTGGGAGGAGTGAGGGGCAGCCCGCTGCCGCCCCTCGACACAAGGGACGCAGGTAGGGCCTGGCCCCGGAGGAAGGGGAGGGAGGGACCGGGGAAGACCAGAGACAAGGACACGGGAGGCCATGCCTCGGAGACGAAGCAGGGAGGGGTGACCAAGGCGGTGGTGCCAGAGGAGAGTCTCGTGCGACAGGAGGCGACACGAACAGGGGGCAGACTCAGGACCAGACCTGGACGCTGCAGCAAACACCTGACCCGACGCAGCTACCTGACCAGACGCAGTGACTGGAGGAGACGCAGTGGTCAGTGTGTACAGGCTCGACCCCGGCCGACGTGTAAACGTGGCCAGGTGTCGGCCTGTCCGAGCGTCCGTGCAGTGGGTCACCCGCTGACTCGCAGGAGTGAACTGGTGAACCCCCGCATCCTGTAGGTCAGCACCACTCACCAAGTTCGTAGAGAACGAGGGGAGGTAAAGACCAGACAGGGTGCCAGAGGGGGCCGCCGGACACGGGAGGACAGTGGAGAAGTGAGCAAGGACAGGACCCCCAGAGGGGTCTGCCAGAGAGACTGCAACTGGCCGGCCAAGCGGCGTGAGTGTGGTGCGGTCTCGAAAGAAGGAGCGAGAAGCCCCCGAGTCAAGGGTGAAGGTGTGGGAGGCCGAAGCCGACGCAGTACCTGAGAGAGCAGACTCACCAGCACCTGAGGGAGCAGACACACGAGCACCTAGAGCAGCAGCCTCGCTAGCACCTAGAGCAGCAGCCTCACCAGTACCTAGAGCAGCAGTCTCAATGCCCGGGTCGGGCGGAAAACACCGGTAACAGTCACCCTCATCACTAATAGTCACAGCATACATGGCAGCCAGAATAGCATCAAAGTCAAGGTCAAAGACAGCTACACCCGCCCTAGACAGCTTGCCCCAGCGGGGGATCTCAGTGGCCTCAGGGAACTGGTGACACCAAGCGTCCGTCAGGCGGCCAAAGCAGCGCTGGGTGGAGTGCGCACCCCCGCACTGCTCACCCGCGCGGTCGCCGGTGCGTAGGACGTAGGTGCACGGACCAGTACCCCCACCCCGGTGGCGTGCAGCGTACCACTCACGGAGCTGCTGAGGGGGGGGGATGTCACGAGTGCGCTGCTGCCGCTGCTGCTGCTGCTGCTGCTGGCGCTGGCCACCACCGGAGCCGACCCTCTGCGCAGCGCCACCTCGACCAGCTCCACCTCCTCCGCCGCCGCCGCCTCCACCGCCGCCACCTCCGTCACCTCCGCTCCCACCGCCACCGCCGCCGCCGCCTCCGCCTCCACTGCCGCCACCGACACCTCCACCCCCGCCACCACTCCCACCACCACCCCCACCCCCTCCACTGCCTCCACCGCCACCTCCGCCACCCCCGCCAACCCCTCCAGCACCCTTGCCCCCCTTGCCCTTGCCGGTGCGGCGTCTCCCGCTCGGGGCAGACGCAGCGCCGACCGACTCGAAACCAATGAGGTCGGCCGCAGCAGCAGAGGCAACAGAGGGCAAAAGGGGGGAGGGGGAACACCCCTCAAAGACGGGGGTGCGAGGGTCACCACGAGAGGCTCCTACAGCGACTATGCTCTTCTCTGCTGCTAGGAGGGCCTTCTCGAGGAGGTCAACGGTGAGAGTGGTGGGGCAAACTGAGAGGAAGTGGTCCCTGACTACGCGAAGGGAGTCAGGGAGCCGGGTGACTATGTAGTAGAGGGTGATGTACATGGGGGGGGGGTTCTTGGAGCAGAATTCAGCAGGAAGCGCAGCGCGGTAGCGAGTGTCACTAGTGCGGAGGTGCGTAATGAGGTCAGCGACTGTGGGAAAGGCAGCAAGGTCAGGGAAGAGGTACGGTAGCATGAGGCGGCTCAGTGCAGCAGTGGCAGGGGAGGAGTAGCGCGCAACTACAGCGTCGTACAAGGTGTGAGCACTCTTGTACTGGCTAAAGTGCGCACGCTCAGAGGTAGGCAGGTGGCGACGCACAGCAAGACGTGCAGCAGCATCGCGTGTGGCCCACTGTGAGCGAACAGTGGCGTCGGCATCAGCAGCAGGGGCAGGAGAGGCACCAGAGGTGAGGTCAAAGAGGGAGAGACCGTCTGCCCTATCGCACTGTAGGAAAAGCTGCAGGTCATCTACCCAGACGTCAAAGTCAATGGCCCGACCCTCAGCGTCAAAAGCGAGGACACTAGGGGTAGCCATGACAGCAGTAGACTAGCAGCGCGAACAGTAGGGTAAGGGCAGTGCAGTGACAGAGGCGCTGCTCTTACCGGACAGGGCGGCTCGGGCGGCTCGGCGGCTCGGCGGGTCGGCAACTCGGCGGCTCGGGCGGCTCGGGCGGCTCGGCGGTACGGCGGCTCGGCAGCAACTGCGGCTCGGCGACTCGGCGACTCGGGCGGCTCGGGCGGCTCGGCGGTATGGCGGTGCGGCAGCAACTGCAGCTCGGCGGGTCGGGCAGCTCAGGTGGCGCGGCGGCTCGGGCGGCTCGGGTGGATCGGGCGGCTCGGCAGTAGCTCGTCGGCGCCGGCGGCTCGGTGGTGACGGCGGGGCCGCGTGGGGACGGCGGCGGGGCCGGGTGGAGCGGCGGCGAGGCCGGGTGGAGCGGCGTCGGGGCCGGGTGGAGCGGCGTCGGGGCCAGTAGAGGCGGCGCCGGGGCCGGGAAGGGCAGCTCCGGGGCCGCAGGGGTAGGCGACGGGGCCAGCAGAGGCGGCGCCGAGGCAGGGAAGGGCGGCGCCGGGGCCGCAGGGGTAGGCGACGGGGCCGCGAGGGCGGCTAGGAGGGGGGGGGTCGCGAGGGCGGCTTGAAGAGGCCGCGAGGGCGGCTAGAAAGGGCCGCGAGGGCGGCTAGAAAGGGTCGCGAGGGCGGCGTGAAAGGGCCGCGAGGGCGGCGCGACACGAAGGAGCCGCGAGGGCGGCGGATCGGGGCCGCGAGGGCGGCGCGACGCGGCCGCTAGGGCGGCGCGACGTGAAGGGGCCGCGAGGGCGACGCGACGGGGCCGCAAGCGCGACGCGACGGGGCCGCTAAGGCGGCGCGACAGGGTCGAGAGAGGGGAGCGCGACTCGGGCAGTGGAGAGCGCGCTACGGGCAGGAAAAAAATGTGGTGGGCCCTAGGAACAGTTCCCACAGGGGAACCTGCTCGATACCATGAGAAACTGAACGAGAATGAATTGACTAAGGGAAAGTTGGGTACAAATGTAAACCCTAGAAAACTGTACCCCATATGTGCTACCCCACTATAGCCTACAGTAGCTATGTCATATAAATCTGACATCTCTCACGGTTGCAGTTGCATGCATTACTTTGCCCCACTATTTTTAATCAAGTATAGGCTTCTTCAGTTGGAAGCAATCATCTCCCCGTTATTGCTTGTTTGTAAGAGTTTCTTTCAAGTCTTCCGTGTTCTGTGATCCCAGTTGTTCACAGCTGAGCTTTCTCACCTGACAAGTGTAGGATCGCCACACTCCGTGAGCCAACCGAACACGAGTTTCGCCGGCATGACGGACCGTCAGCTTTTAAAGCCGTGGTGCAGATATCCCGGCTCCAGTTCAAACTATTATAGTTTGAAAGCCGCGTAACCCAGTATACACAGGAAAGCGAGCAGGGAGAGGTTTCTGCCAGCGGGGGAAGGGCGTGCGGAAAAGTCCTTCGCAGTATGATGTGTGGGGGGGGAAACGGGGGAGGGCTCGGGGAAAAGCTCCGCTCAACGAGATGAGGGGGAGCGCAGGCAGCAAACTTGAAAATTCAAACTTGAACTCAAAACAACTCAAACTCGGCAAACTCTCACGCTTGAACTAGGTTCTTACTAACTTGAAGTAAGTTTCCCGAGCTACGCAGAGCCATTTCCGCTAAGATTTCTCGCGTTTCATGGTCTATTGATGTGCTCACGAATATCTGCGCAATTTCCTACCTCGTAAACACCTTTTTTGTCGTATTCGAAGCGCATTGCGCTCGTTTTCCTCCGTTGCCGTCCTTATTCCTCTCCCGCCCCTCCATTCCTCACGTATCTGCGGTAGCAAAGGCGCAACGGCAGCGACAGGCAGGAATGGGTGTGACGGTGGCGAGCAGCGGGGCGACGATAGCTAGATATCGGTGGTCGCATATGAGCAGCGGGGCGACGATAGCGAGCGGTGGGGCGACGATAGCGAGCAGCGGGGCGACGATAGCGAGCAGCGGGGTGACGATAGCGAGCACCAGGGCGACGATAGCGAGCACCAGGGCGACGATAGCGAGCACCAGGGCGACAATAGCGAGCAGCAGGGCGACGATAGCGAGCACCAGGGCGACGATAGCGAGCACCAAGGCGACGATAGCGAGCACCAGGGCGACGATAGCGAGCAGCGGAGCGAAGCATCTGTGCGACGGTGGCGAAGCATCTCGCGTCCCACCCTGTCACCTCCCGTCCCATCCAATTTCCCCCTTTCCAATGCCTCCCCCTTTCCGATCCCTTGCCCGATCCTCAGCATCAACTTCGCTTGGCCAGTGCCCTCCCTGTTTTCCTCTCCCTTTCCCCCTGTCCGCCTCTCCCTTTCCCCCTGTCCTCCTCTCCCTTTCCCCCTGTCCTCCTCTCCCTTTCCCCCTGTCCTCCTCTCTATTTCCCCCTGTCCTTCTCTCCCTTTCCCCCTGTCCTCCTCTCCCTTTCCCCCTGTCCTCCTCTCCCTTTCCCCCTGTCCTCCTCTCCCTTTCCCCCTGTCCTCCTCTCCCTTTCCCCCTGTCCTCCTCTCCCTTTCCCCCTGTCCTCCTCTCCCTTTCCCCCTGTCCTCCTCTCCCTTTCCCCCTGTCCTCCTCTCTATTTCCCCCTGTCCTTCTCTCCCTTTCCCCCTGTCCTCCTCTCCCTTTCCCCCTGTCCTCCTCTCCCTTTCCCCCTGTCCTCCTCTCCCTTTCCCCCTGTCCTCCTCTCCCTTTCCCCCTGTCCTCTCCCTTTCCCCCTGTCCTCCTCTCTATTTCCCCCTGTCCTCCTCTCCCTTTCCCCCTGTCCTCCTCTCCCTTTCCCCCTGTCCTCCTCTCCATTTCTCCCTGTCCGCCTCTCCCTTTCCCCCTGTCGTTCTCTCCCTTTCCCCCTGTCCTCTCTCCCTCCCACCCTTCCTCCCCCTCTCTCACATCCCTTCCTTTCCTACTGTCCTCTCCCACCATTCACGCTTCTCTCAGCCATCCCTTTCCACCCTCCCCTGTCCCTCGCTTTCCCCCACTACCGTCCCTTCCCTTTCCACTACGTTCTCTCGTCCAGCCCAGCCGACAGTACCAGCTTTGCTTGGCCACTGAAGGCTGTCTATCATATCTCAGTTTCCATGCTCTCTTCAATTTCCCTACCTAACATTCTTCAATAATGTGCAACGTTTCCTTCCCTTCCCCACCTCCCCCCCCCCCCCTCCCCCCCTTTCCCCTCCCCCCTCCTCCCTCCTCCCTGCAAATGGACAGCTGCACCAATAGTGGATCGGAGTGTAAAAATCTGCTCTCCTTGGATGATGCCATGTTTGCTTTTATCCTTAGCATAATAAGGATTTCAATATGACATTCCAAGTCTTGCACATCTGTACAGTTGATGTTCTTTCTCCCCATTAGAAATATTACTCTTGCAAATGGATGGATAAATAAACCAAAATAAAACTTGAAAGTGAAATTGGTATTTTGCGCAGCTTTTTTGGAACATAAGGTTTCTCGTTTTGCAATGTGGAGGTGTTATTGGCAGAACAATCAGCGAAAGGGAGTATGGGGGTGTTGATGTGGTCCCATTTCCCGTTTCGTGTGTGTTCCCCCCTTTCCTTCCCCCCAACCCCTTCCCCCCCACTTTTCCTTTCGAGGTTCGCGACATTCACCTTAGATGTTTTCATCGCAACACGACTTACACTCTCGCTAGCCAATTGACTACCAGTACGGAACAAGACAAAACCCGGTTTGACACTGTTCCTAAGATAGTTGCACCGCTAGCGAAACGAATTGCTCTTCGTAAGTCGTACCTCGACCATTCGCGTACGTATGGGCCGTGGGAGTTCTCCCCTCTTCGCGAGTTTGCCGTCTTAATTGTCGGTCACAGCCACACCCACCACTCGCGCACATATGTCGGCACAGGTTCGCAAGGAGCGTGGCCTTGCTGTTTCCATACTCTCCGAAGCGCTGCCACTAGCCACCCTAGCTGAATCGAACCCGTTGAATGTCACAGTCTCAAGCATGACAACCGTAGATTCTATTCAGAAAAGTAGTTCCCTCCCCTCCCCTCGAGCCACCAGGGTCCAGGTGTTCCCCCAGCCAGCTCACCAGGGTATTCACAGTTCCGCGTCGCGCAATGTTCTCTCCGTGCCGCATGTCTTCTTCACTCAAGGATGCCAGATGCCCAAGATCCCCCTCACTCCCACCAACATGCCAATGGCGAGGATAGCCCCATGCTGACCTCATCGATCAGATGTCACCCAAATCTAGCCCCTCTAGTCGCCAAAACTAGTGCGCACTGCTTCACACTATATACACAATCAGGAGCTTCAGGCTGAAGCATCTCAAATCATTCACTGCTAGTACGAGGTGAAGAAGGGCGAAGCACAGGCACTCTAGGGCTCTCAATCAATAGAAATCCTCATGCATTCTGGTGCTAAGCGCTCATTCCAGATCATCCAATTCTCCTGAACTAGTGACTCAGCGTACTTATTGTCTCCTTCCGCGGTGGTAGCATCGCAAACGGGTTTCTGAAAGCAAGTCCGCGCATAGTGTAAGCATGTCGACCGCTCTGCGGCAGTGGAAAATGCCACCTCCCAGCGCCGCACTAGCGGCGCTCCTCCTCCTGATCTCCGCCGCGTCGCTCGTTTCCTGCGAGCAGCGCCTCTCCTACTCGGGATTCGCGACCAACGAGGATGGCGTACTCGTCGCGAAGCAGAGCCGGGTTACCCTTTTCAAGCGCAATTCGCCGAACGCAAAGTCGTCTTCGTCAAACGGCAAGTCCGCGTTCGCGAAAAAGCAAAAGCAAGCCGAAGCAGAGATGATTGCGGCGGCCAGCAAGCGCACCAAAAGCCCGAAAAAAGCCCGATCCTTCAGCAGCATCTTCGGAAGCCTCGTCTCTGCGCCCGCTGCGCAAGACACGCCGGTAGCGGCGGCGCCGTCTCTCACGATTTTCTGCTCGCCGAAGCCCTACTCGTCTGTTCTCGATCCCAAGGACCCGCAGCCGGACAACCAGATCCGCGCGCTGCGTTCCTGGCTGCGCCTCACGCCTTCCCCAAAGATCGTCCTTCTCGGGAACGACTCGACCTTTACCGAGCTCGCGCGTCGCTTCCCGAAGCAGGTCTCCGTGGAATCCGCCATCGATACTAACTATTACGGCCTGCCGCAGTTTCATAGTATCGTGGCGCGCGCGCAAGCGGCGGACACGGACCTGTCGATGATCATCAACGGCGATATCATCCTCCTTAACAACGTCCTCGATGCAATCAACAAGGTTCACAAAACATTCCCTCATTGGGTGATGACCGCAGCGCGGTGGGACGTGGCGGAGGACTTCCCGTACACCTTCTTCCCCTCCATGTGGGCGAATGCGCGCAGCCGCGGTCCCGCGGCGCTCGAGAAGGAAATCGCCGAGTACGCGCGGACCAAGGGGTCGCTGCATACGTATGGCGGGGTGGATTTCTGGGTGTGGAATAACTCTCCCGTGCAGCTGCATACAGGCATCATGCCGCCATTCGCGTTCGGGCGCGGCAAGTACGACAACTGGTTCACGCACGAGATCGTCGCGTCGGGCCTTCGCGAAGTCGTCGACGCGAGCGACGCGGTGACGTCCATCCACGTGGCGCACTCCTACTCGCACGTGACGGAATCCGCGGAAACTAAAAACGGCGCGGCGGCACTCGCGGGGAAGAACTTCTGGAGCACGCGGAAGAAGAGCAGCTGGGAGCTTTTCGCAAATATCCACCTCGCGCAGACCCACGGCTCTTACTCCAACCAGCTCGGAACCGCGCTCCACGTGCCGTGGAAAATGTCGTCCTGCTTCGAGCCGGCCGTGAACAACATGTGCCTGCAGCGCCGCCTGCGCCCCGCGACCTGCCAGTGCGAGTATTCTAACTTCGTCGATATCAGCCAGTCCGACCCGAAGATCGATCCGTCCGGCCGCAGATGGACCTGCGGTAGCGTTTCCGTCGATAAGAAATCGGATTACTCGATCCAGGCCGTTCCTACGCCGGGATCCGCGGTGGGGCTGCCGCACACGGCGGCGCAGCTGCTTCCGCAGGTGGCGCGCGAGGTGGGCGGGCTGAAGGTGGTGATTCTCGTGGCGGTGACCATGGGGTATGCGGAGATGCTCATGAGCTTCGTGTGCCGCCTGCGCGGGCTGGGTCTTGCGGATAACCTCGTGGTGGCGGCGTTGGATGAGGACTTGTACCGATTCGCCTTCTCGCAGGGACTTGCTGTGTATCACGAGCAGGTGAGCGCTCAATGCGACCCAGATCTACCCTTTCTCGGTTTCCTCTCTTCCCTACTACCCCATGTCGTCCCGCATTCTGTCTGCCCGTCGCCCCGCCGTTTCCCTCCTTCGCTTTCCCCTAACCCCCCTCCTTCCCTTTCTCTCCTTCCCTCCTTTTCATCCGTGCAGGTGAGTGTGGGGTATCAGGGGCTCAACTCCAAGGATTGTGTGTTCGGCAGCCAGTGCTTCCGGCAGTTCACCAAGCTCAAGTCGCGCTCCGTGCTAAAGGTTCTCAAGCAGGGCTACTCCGTGCTCTGGACCGATGTTGACATCGTCTGGTTCTCCGATCCTCTCCCGGACCTGCTCAGCTACGGCCCGGGCACCTTCCCGATCCAGAGCAACGAACCCAACGGGTCGATTCCAGGCACGGGGATTCGGCGAATCAACTCGGGGTTCTACTTTGCTAGGTCTGATCCCAAAACCATCGAGGCGTTCGAGGCGATCACTGCGCATGCCGCCACGACCAAGCTATCTGAGCAGCCGAGCTTTTACGACATTCTGTGCGGAGTGAAGGGAGAGAACCTGGTGGCTGGGAAGGAGGAGTGCCGGTGGCAAAACGGCCTGCGGACCATTTTCCTCGACCGCAAGGTGTACCCGAATGGCGCGGTTCATAACTACTGGGACCATGAGGACGTGCTTGAGAATTGCCTGAAGCACGGATGCACCATCCTGCACAACAACTGGATTGCGGGGAAGGATGCGAAGAAGAATCGGTTCATGGTGAACAAGTTCTGGCATTATGATCCTGAGAGGAGGATGTGCACGTGGAGGTGGCACTCCAAGCTGCCTACTGTGGCACACGCTGACTCTGTGCAGGCTCAATAAAGGCAGGGGGAAGGACAAAGGGGGGTGAGTGAGATCAGTCAATGATCTTTTACCTATAATAAAGCAGCATTGCAAGCTGTGAGCGTAGACACACACAGGGCAAGCAGCTGCATGTTTAGCGCACGAGTCGTGTGCGGCATAAAGGTGGTTCTCTGTTGTTCACCACCATGTAGCATGTTCACCACTTTGTTGTTAATTTTATTTAATGTACACGACCACTGGCTACAACGTCAATTCCTATGAAGTAACCTTACAGTAAGAACATTGTTCAAACTTTGAGATGACATCTGAGTAGGTCTATAACCCAAGGTGTGCAACGAAAGAGGAAAGGCAGAAGCCTTAGAATGCAGTAAACGATATAAAATACGACTAGGTATCAACAGACTCATAAGCTGTGTCCAAAAAGTATGGATGGGGACATGAAGGCTGGAGGCAGATCAAGGAGAAGGTGAGTGAGATGTTGCTTGATGAAAGTTTTTTCACTGGGGGTAGGGGTATTAATAGAAAAAAACATGAGTTAAATAAGATATACAAGCACGAGCACAATGCAGTCTGGCTTTGCTCCTACATTCGGCGGACAGACACTACATTCACTGAGAAAAGCAGCTACTAGCAGGACGGACTGGAGCGCGGAAGGCGGAACCGGTTAGCAGCAATAACTATGAGCGCTAAGAAACGGCACGGAACATCCTAATTCTTGTCTTTACTTTTATCTGGATCTTGACCCTGGTCTCGCTTCCTATATGCGTCTTCCAGTTGCTTCCCCACTGCAATCGCCCGGTCCACTACGACCCTCAGCGGAGGTAAGTTGTACGTCTGCGCGACATAGATCCCGAAGGTAGTCCCAGCACAGAAGGAGAGTAACGACTTGAACATTCCCATAGCTAGTCGGTGCTGGTGACCTATTTGACCTAAAACCTTGATTTGCATGTATGACGAGAACCAGGACTCGCCTAACGAGGAAAAAAAGGAGAATGAGAATATCACAACCACAAACACGTCGTAGACTGGGCCTTTGTTCTCAAATGTTCCTTCGGCATGACTGGGTTAGAACTGAATCTGCGGAATCTAGGGAGCCATGGATGTTCCTTGTTGGACAAGCAACAGATTCAACAGAGCGTTGTTCGTGGGGGGATATCGGTGACCGACGCATTCACTTGTATATGATTTCCGCGCACCCACCGCTTTGTTTAGTACAGGAACTACTCCATGATCTCAGAGAACCGTACTGGACGACCGGGACATTTTCCGAGTCCCGACAGGCTTCGTTCTGACCGAATTGGATGCGACGACGGGATGAATGAAGTATGGAGGTAACCAGATCGCGTGGGGGAACGAGCAACATGATTGCCCACTTCTGTCGCTGCATTGCTTCGTGAACTTTCGCACATGCTTTATCGTCAACTTCCCAGCCTCGACTTTCCGGACTGTGCAAACCTTCCTGACCTGACTCTTTTGATCAGGATCAGGAATTCTTGATAATACCACCAGAGCAGAGAGCTGAAGTACACTGAAGCTCATGGATTTTTTAGTTGTAAAAGGCACATCAACCTCAATTACTCGGCCCTTCAGAGTGTTGGGAACAAACAATCTTAAGCGCCTCTGTCGTGTCGAAACACCAAGGCACAAGCGAAGCAGAGCATATCGAGGCACCAGCGAGTCAACCCTCGGAGGTTGAAGTAACCGCTGGAGGTTACGCGAAAGTCAAAGGTCAGCGACCTTTGACTTGACAAATGCAGCGCGACAGCAAGGACACACAACTGACTCGACATTGAGCAGTTGCCCGAGTCGCACTGTATCGAACCGCAACAGTAAAACAGTTTAATTATATCTCTTCGTATTCTTTGTACTCTTATATAAACCTTTGTACTTGCTTGTTTTAATCAACTTACTTTGCCCTCACATACCAGCGCAAGGTGGTTCAAGGACTTCATTTAAACGCTTCCGCTACTACATCACTCTACCCAGAGTTTAACCCTACCAAAGATCCTAAGGGGCACTCAGCCCAACATGGTATGAGAGCTGGTTAGGGTTAAAATGATTTCTCCTTAACACCTAATACACCAAGAGACATGTCTACCAGAAAGGAGAGGAGCTCCTCCAACGGCTCTCCTGGTACTACTCCTACTCCACCTCCTGCCTCTGGCCTACTGACAGAGGAAGGCACAACAACGAGACCGGCAGCTGGGTCTACTGAAACACCCGCAAACCAAGGCGCGGGCTTCGATCCAAGCATGATGGAGAAGTTCTTCTCCTTCATGTCCTTCTACGAGCAGCATCAGCAAGGAGCACCTGCGCAATCAAACAACAGCAACAACAACAACAACGTGACGCCCATGAGTCTCGATGGCTCATCCTACGCACGCGGGAATCAACAACAGCAACCTACCTTCGCTCCGTACGAGCCCCAGCGCGGCTCCGTCAGCTTCATGCCACAACCACAACCTGCACCGGGACAAGAGAGAACGCTGGACGCACTACAAGTTCAGTCGCAGTTCGCGCACGTTCTAAAACTGCAAACGACAAAACCCTTCGACGGGAAGGATTTCTTTACCTGGTCGTTCGAATTCGAGCTGATGATGGAAGGAGCGCAAATCCTTGGCTTCTTCGACGGGTCCCTGCCATACCCAACAAACGGCACACAGTATGAGAAGCAGCAGTACACATATCAATCGATGATGGCGTACACGATACTACTGAGGAACATCACTCCAACTCAACAACAAAACATACGGTCTTACCGAGGCTACGGCAACTCCGCGGAGCTCGCGTACAATCACTTGAAGAGCCTGTATCAAGCAACAGACAGCGTAAACCAAAGTCGGTTAATGGCGCAGCTGACAACAATCGAAATGAAACCAGGCGAGAAGGGAATGGCGTATATCAGTCGCTGCCGCGAGCTGCGCGACAAGCTTCTTCGATGTGGAGGATCGATTTTAGAGGACGCCTTCGTCACGGTTGTCATCGGCGGTCTTGGTCCTCACTGGCGCTCCACTCGCGCCATACTACGAGCCCACGGGAAAATTTCTGAAGCAGCACTTTGCGCCGAAATCCACGCCGAGCAGCAAGACATGGACCTGCAAGAAGAACGACACAAGAGAAAGGTATCAGTGCCCGAATTCGCGTTTCACACTCAACGGCGCCACAACAACAACAACAATCGACCGAAAATCGTACCTCCGTTCTGCCACCTCTGCAAGACTTCAGGGCATCCTCGTACGCACTGCCCGAATCGACAACAGTCAACGTCGCCGCAACGCCAACTTCGCCCTTCAAGCAGTCAAGTCGCCTCAACACAAGCAAATCCGACAACTTCAGTACAAGTCTCAACAACATCGACGGGACAACCTGCGAAAGGAACAAGAAACATCGTCAGCTGCATGGCAAGGCTGAGTGACTCCTGCGTAACTGAGTCACCACCATATTACTCACCAGAAGAACAACTCGACAACAGCACGCCTCGCCGCGAGTCACTTCAACCGAACCCGACGTACGCCGCCGTCGCTCAAAGCGAGCCGTCCGGGAAGGATACATGGTTCTTGGACAGTTGCTGCGGACAACATATGTGCTCTTCAGGACGTTTCGTTCAACGCGAGCACCAACTTCAACGAGAAATCGTCATCACTGTCGCCAATAATCATAACCTGCGCACACGACGACAAGGAGTAGTGCAACTTCAGTCACGAGAGACGAATGTCATACTGCAAATGTCCAAAGTCCTAATAGCAGAAGGACTTGGCTACAACTTACTGAGCGTCAGTCAGTTGATGGCGAAAGGCATACATCTGGAAGCCGACAGTACCACCCAGGAGTTCAAGCTGTACCACGGGAAGGGCGGCCTCTACATCGGAAAGGCGGTCCTGAAGAACAATTTCTTCGTTCTCGATTTCGTCCCAGACCTGGGCACCGCAGACAGTGACGGCATCGTCACCTTCACATCTTGGACGCACCCGCCGGATCTCGACCCCGACTTCAGTCCGGAAGGCTTTTGGTATTCACATACCATTCATGAAGCAGAACGAACACGTGCGTTAGTAACAATACAACATTCGGCAGCAGCAGAGACAACATCGGCAGCAACAGAGACAACATCGGCAGCAGCAGAGACAACATCGGCAGCAGCAGAGACAACATCGGCAGCAGCAGAGACAACATCGGCAGCAGCAGAGACAACATCGGCAGCAGCAGAGACATCATCGGCAGCAGCAGAGACATCATCGGCAGTAGCAGGAACAACAACAGTAGCAGCAACAACGACACCACTCCTCGTTGACGAAGCACCACCAACACTCGCACAGCAGCTGAATCCGGCTCAACGGGAATTAGCGCAAACTTCACCGCCAGCTTCTACTCCAACTCCGACGCGTATCGACGCTCACCCGGACACCGCGCCTCCGAAGACATCTGGCACGCACGCATGGGACACCCAAGCAACACTGTGTTAAACAACACAATAAGAGCAGGAGTCCTTGACAAGGATTCGTTACTACTACTCGACGGCAGAGAACTTCAACGGGCACGAGGAACATGTCTTACCTGCCCCGAAGCCGACTTACCACATCGGCCGTTCACTCCTCATCACAACCCGAGCACACCCGCGTACGCACCACTCGAAAAGGTGTATAGCGACATCCTGTACAATCGGGAACCAGGACAAGTAATATACAACTACACAATCACCTTCATCGACGCCGCCACCCGTTACGTCTGGCATCTAGACCTACCCAGCCGCGACATGGTCCTCGAAGCATTCGCTGCTTGGCTACCAGTAGCAGAAAGAGAGTCGGGCGTAAAGCTGAAAATCTTCCAGTCTGACGGAGGAGGAGAATACACCTCTCAGCGATTCAAGCAGTACCTGGCGGAAAGGGGAATCAAGCAGCTCCTCTCTCTTCCCTACGCCCATCAGCAGCAAGGTGTAGCAGAAAGAATGAACAGGACTCTGCAGAACAGCATGCGCAAACTGTTGCGTGGCATGCGGCTACCCAACCACCAGTGGCCTGACGCGATGGACCACGCTGTCATGCTGCACAACTTGCTCTCATCTTCATCACTACCGAACAACGCATCACCGCATCTGCTGTGGACAGGAAAACAGGGCAGCACAAAAATGTTACGAGTGTTCGGATGCATGGTACAGTACCGACCCCCAGCAGCACGAGCGGGCCGATTTTTACAACGCGCACAGTGGGGACTACACCTCGGAATCGAAAAGAACTACAACGCGTGGAAAATCTTCGACGTCCATTCCAAGGAAACAGTAGCAGCACGTGATGTAATTTTCTACGAACGACTCACGCTCCAGACATACCTTGCCAACCTGCAAGAAGACGAAGATCCCACAGGTGGTTTTCGTGGTGACCGAGCCTTCGCCTCAGCAGCGGACGAAGCTGGCTGGGACGAGCAGAATGTGGCCAACGCATCAGAAGAAGTTGGACCCCTTCCGTTCTGCTCCGTCGACGTCCCCATGGACGTAGATAACCCTCGCGAAAGTGTCAACGCCGAAACCTTCTACTACTTCGCCGACAACGGTTACGTAACACCTGCGACAGTCAACACCAACGAAGCAGAACGAGTAGGACCGAATTTCATACCTGATCCAGAAGCGGGAGATGAAGCAGCTTATCCCGAGGATGCAACTCTTCCCCGCTACTCACAGACTGGACTGCAGATTCTCGGACTCGTCACCGCAGTCCACGGCAACACTCTTCCTAAGGAGCCTGCGACGGTTCAGCAGGCTCTGGGGGGGGAACACAGGGAAAAATGGCGTGAAGCCATGGACAGAGAGTTAAAGGCGCTGGAGGAACGGAACACCTGGAAAGTTGTCCCCATCAGCGTGGCAAGGAACAAGACCATTCTCACCGGGAAATGGGTCTTCCGCGTTAAAACAAAAGCAGACGGCACAATTGAGAAGTTCAAAGCACACTGGGTTGTGCGTGGATTCGATCAGGAGCACGGACGAGACTTCACCGAGACATTCGCCCCGGTTAGCCGACATACCTCACTTCGAATCCTCCTCGCGATCGCCGCCATGAAGAAAAGGAAGCTACGGCAAATCGATGTCGCCAACGCGTTCCTCTACGCACCTGTCGACGTGGAAATCTTCGTCGAGCTCCCACACGGTACCAACGGGGAACCTAACCAAGTCTGTCAACTGCTGAAATCACTTTACGGGATCAAGCAAGCTCCGCGGCTATGGCAACAGTACCTACACGCTCGCCTCATTCGCATCGGATTCCGCCAACTACCTCACGACCAAGGAATGTACCGACTCACTAAAGACACCGACTACATTCTGCTAATCGTCTACGTAGACGACCTACTCTACATCGGCTCCACTGACGACATCACCACCTGGTTCGAAGGGGAGCTACAGAGGGACCTCACACTCACGGTCTCCTCTACCGTCACACAGTACCTCGGCTTGAACATTCGGGAAGAAGAAGGCGCGATCTACCTCAACGCCGCTAAGTACGCCGACACCATCGCCAAACGCTTCGCGCTCACACCTACCACCATCTCTACGCCCTACCGCTACGCGACAGGAAACCACAAGGAAGGATCCTCTCTACTCAAATCCGCCGGGATACGCGACTACCAGAGAAAGCTAGGATGCCTTCTCTTCGCAGCTGTCACCTGCCGCCCCGACCTCTCATACTCCGCAAGCCAGCTCGCCACCTACCTCAAGAAGCCTGAAGCAGAACACCTGGCGGAGCTCGACCGCGCTCTCCACTACTTCGTCAGTACCTCAACGATCGGCCTAACTTACTACAAGAACACAACTACACCGACTAAATTAATCGGCTACGTCGACGCTGATCACGCTGGCGACTCCGACAACAGGCGCTCCCGCACCGGCTACATCTACCGCCTCGAACCTATCGGACCGATCTCCTGGCAATCGAGCAAGCAGGAATTAATTGCTCTCTCGTCAGCTGAAGCAGAATATATTGCACTCTGCTCAGCCACCAAGGAAGGACTCTATCTTCGCGAGCTGCTGGAAGAAGCGAAGTTAGCCGAGTTACCCAACTTCACTCTGTTCTGCGACAACCAATCTGCAATTCGCATCGCCAACAAAAATGGATTCGCGAACAGAACGAAGCATATCGCTCTGCGATATTTCTTCGTAAAAGACGAGATTGAGAAGGGGAGACTTGAACTATCCTACTGTCCCACGTCCGAGATGGCAGCTGACTACTTGACCAAGAAGCTCGGAAAACAGAAGTTCGAGTACTGCATGCTGCTGACTGGACAAAGCCACGTCACCAGCAGCGACACTCCAGAAGCGAAGGGGAGTGTTGGGAACAAACAATCTTAAGCGCCTCTGTCGTGTCGAAACACCAAGGCACAAGCGAAGCAGAGCATATCGAGGCACCAGCGAGTCAACCCTCGGAGGTTGAAGTAACCGCTGGAGGTTACGCGAAAGTCAAAGGTGAGCGACCTTTGACTTGACAAATGCAGCGCGACAGCAAGGACACACAACTGACTCGACATTGAGCAGTTGCCCGAGTCGCACTGTATCGAACCGCAACAGTAAAACAGTTTAATTATATCTCTTCGTATTCTTTGTACTCTTATATAAATCTTTGTACTTGCTTGTTTTAATCAACTTACTTTGCCCTCACATACCAGCGCAAGGTGGTTCAAGGACTTCATTTAAACGCTTCCGCTACTACATCACTCTACCCAGAGTTTAACCCTACCAAAGATCCTAAGGGGCACTCAGCAGGGCCTATTTTTGGATTTTAGGTACTCTGATTTCCAGAGTAGTTTTTTTCCCAACTCTGAAATCTAGGGTTGTTCCTGCGCCTTACTCTGATTTGTCAGAGTAACCCTATACTTAAAAAAAAAAACCCAGGCACGTCAGAGTAATATTTTTCTCTACTCTGATGTTAGTTAAGTTTGGTGCACCATGACCTTAATAGGTTTTTGTTACGCCTTTTGTACTTGCATTTCCGCGTCGCCCACGTTTCCCCCCTCACTGCGATGTTTCAGAGTGAGGTGTTGGCGGCACCGATAATCTGATTAAGGGCGTGTCCGAAGTGAAACGTCAATAGATGTCGCTGGATGTCGGTAAATGTCATCCCTCGGATCGACAGTTCCAACCGTCAGGATTTACCGACATCCCCAAACGGATGTCCACGGATGTCGACGTTTCACTTCGGACACCCCCAAAGAGCGTCTCTGAAGTGAAATATGACGGATGTACAGTTTCGTCGGGGAATGCTGGCGAATCTCAACCCTCGGATTGAGCGTTCCGACCGTCAGGATTCCTCGACGTCCCTCAAAGTTTCGTCGGGAAACGTCGACGTTCACTTCAGACATAAAGAGAGAGGGGACTGGCTGGCATCGTGCGCTGGTTGGGAAAGTTGTCAAACTACGGTAGCCAATCAGTGCTCATATTGCCGCCAACACACGACAGAAATCAGGAGAATGATCTCGACGATTCGGGGAAAACCCGCTAAACGCAGGGGGAGGTGGGGAGGGGAGGGGGGCGGGGGAGGGGGGGCCGGCAGGTATTCCCTATACAGAGTAAATTCGGTCCCCGAAAAAAAAACCCAGAGGCCTCAGAGTAAACTACAGCATAACTCTGACAAATCAGAGAAATCGGAAGTCCCAAAAAAATTACCCAGCGGGTACAGAGTTACTTTCAAAAATGACTCTGATTTTCAGAGAAACAGAGTAATTTACTCTGAAAACGTGAGGCCTGGCACTCAGCCCAACACAGAGCACGTGTCTGATGGTAAAGTTTTAATATAAGATGTTCCCTTCTTTGTGGTTTCCCAATGGCCATCCAGAATGGGACTCACAAGTTCAATACCAGTACACCTTCACGTTTCCCATTGTTGATGCATGTAAGACTACTCCGACGGCCATTGACGACTCAGAAATCCTCCTGCAGGTGATGTCAAGGATTCATCTCATTTGACAGCAGAAACAGTACCTGGCAGCGAAATGTGTAGTATCCACTCTTGTGGCTTCTTTAGACACATTTGAAGAATTCTCTCAAAGCCATTCTCTTCTCCTTGTGTCTTCCATGGTCCATCCAAGATTCGATGCACTTGGTGTATGGTCCGGTTCTGACTGATTACAGGCGTGGCACATGATCTTAGAAGGCAGGGTAAGAATATTTCGTTTTCATTTGAATGCAAAAATTGTACAGAACTGTGAAGGTAAACATAGCTATTTACGGGGAATGATGAGATCACGGGCGAGTGGAGATGGAATGTGGATTGGTTGGGGGAAAGGATCTGGAGAGAGGGAAGAAAAAAAAAAAGGAAAAGCTAATGAGGAGTGAATGGGTGGCGTAGATGAGGGGTGGGTGTGGGAAAGGTGAGGGGAGGGCCGGAGGGGGGGGGGTGAGGGATGGTTAGGACGTGGGAACTGGGGAGGGGAGTGAGGAAGATGACGGGTGAGTGGGGGGACGGTGGGGAGGGAGGTAAGCGAGATGAGGGTTGAGTGGGGGATGGGAGAAGAGTAGGGGAGGCGGAGAGTGGTGGGGAGATGAAGGGTGGGTGCAAAAAAAGGGGGAGCAATGAAGCGCGTAGAGATAAGCGGAGCACGCAAGGAAATGAGGAGAGAGTATGGGGGGAGGGGAGGGAGTGGGGGTTGGGGAGAGCGGGGGAGATGAGGAACGAGCAGGGAAGATGAGGGGAGAGCCCTGAAGATGAGGGGAGACGATGAGGGGAGAGCGGGGACGATGGAGGGAGAGCGGAGAAGATGTGGGGAGAGCGGAGGAGATGAGGGGAGAGCGGAGGAGATGAGGGGAGAACGGGGAAAAAGAAGGGAGAGCTTGGGGGATGAGGAATGCGTGACGTTTCTAGGCAAAGTCAGGGGAAGAACGGGGAGGAAGGGGAACGAAAGTGCAAGGGGGGAAAGGGGGTAAAAGGGGAGAAAGGCAATTCTGCCTCTCACCTCTCGCCAGCCCTCTCCGTTATCGTTTTCTCACTTCGCGCCTCCAGCAACGACTTTCACCAGTCCATCCCCCCCTTTTCCCCCGTTCCCTTACCCCTCCCCCCCTTCCCGCACCCCTTCCCGCACCCCTTCCCTCCCCTCACGACATCCCGTTTTGCGCATCGGTCAAGCTAATGTGCCTTGGGTTCGTATCATGCGTTTGCATGATAGTCTTTATAAATAGGCGTTGCAGATGTGACCGCAATCTTCAACCTTGACTAAAAAATAGCCTATATAAAGGGATACGAATGCGACGAATATGAACGCAAATGAACGTTACTATCCATCTGCAAATACACGAGCAAAATAAATCGTCAAATCTTGGCGCCAATTTGGAGATAACAACTAATAGTTCTCCACTAAAATTTGACACTTGGCAGTACTTACCGCACTAGATGTGTCAAGTGGCGAACACCGAAGTACGAGTGAAGCGCGATCGTAACTAGCTACGGTGCTGAGGTCTAATGTTACGGAAAAAAAAAAATCAGAGGCTCCAAGTCCACCGCATTTGAAGCTGATCAAACGAGAATCGGCTGGCGACGGTAACAATATTAAACTAATAATCAAAGCTGCCTATATTTAACAGGACTAGCTAGCTATTCAAAAGGCATAATGGTGGGTGTAGGGAAATAGGTACGGCAGGTGAGGAATTGCGAGTTTGGCGTGGTGGTTGTGTGTGTCGGGATGAGGGGAACATTCCGTGCTGCTGTGGAATCACGCTTCATTTCTATTGCCTCGCGGAAATCTCTTCTCGATCCATTTTGTATTTTCAGCTGCCCGAGTCCGGTTCGGAGGGGCAAACTGAGTTGCGAAGAAAAGCTAAACTTCCCGCGCCACGCGGGAATCTCCTAAGCCGTCCCGCACCTCACGCAAAACCAGCGCAAAAACTCTATTTCGAAAATAGCCACGTCTACCGCCTCCTAGAAAGTTCGAGCCTGCCCCAGGCCCATCCTTCGCTTTGTTCTGCAGGCGGACAATTTCCAGAATCTGGGTCCGCATAATTATTTGTTGATAAGTGATTATTTGCTTATCTAGGTTTGGTGATAAGAGCGTTCCTGCCAAACCTATTTGCGCCAAATTTGACGCTTCAGCCTGCAGAGCACCACTTTCGTGCCGCACAAATTTAACCGCCCGCTGGTTCGACGTTGTTGCTTCGCCAGGCAAACCGTCTGATTCGACCTCGAGGGCTTGCATCAGCCAGCGCATTGGCTGTTCTGCTGTTCTGCTGTTCTGCTGCCGCATTGGCCATTTGGCCGAGAGCTGCACAGCACAACACAGCGGGTGCGGGAGGAACCTTCTTAGAAGCATCAAATCGATTGAAGCCACATGAATTCTACCTCACATCAGCGGCGAAATGTTAGGGGTGTGAACATTGTTTTAGGGCAATATACTGTGGAACATTCGAGGAGAATGATTGGCAAAAAAAAAAAAAAAAATGCATGCCCAGACATAAATACCTGCCCAGATGCGGACGTGCTATGGCTGAATCCCCCGTCGTCGTGGGGATTTGCATTGCAATGCGGCGCATCATGTTTGCTCGTGAAGGGAAAGTTTGAGGTTAATTTCGAGCGCATTACCAGTTCAGTGTTTTGTTGCCGCATTAGTCATCTCCGCACAGCACAGCACTGGTTAGGTTCGGGATGGAGTTCAGGGTCCCGAACCTGTTTGAAGGAATACGCCCTTATTTTTTAAGCCTCTTAGATGTAACGTAGAAGCCTTCACGAAGCATCAGCTGGTGCTATGCGTCGGAGGCCTCACATGTACATCTTGATTTGGTTCGGGTCGGCTAAAGATTTGGGCCGCCTCATAATGCAAGCCATGCAACATTCTCCACGCGACCCGGCTATTTTTTGGATCCGCCGCTGTGAGATTGCCCCATTCTGACAGAGATGCTCTCAACGGCTTCCTATAGCGTTGATTCGTCACACATTTGGGTTGGAGCAACGCTGCGACGCACCACGGTGTCTGGATATGGTTAGATTGAATTCGTTCAACCAATCATCAATCGGCGGCACCACGCTTCTGTTTTACCCAGCTGAGGGGGGTGATCCCGCCGCTGACGACACAGCGGCCACTCGCCGCTCTCCACACTTGGAGACCCCCCTTGGTTTTCCGCCTCGGCCGTCTTCGCCGCCTCCGCAGCCTGCTGCTGTGAACTCTGGAGCTGAGACTGCTGGTGCTGAGCCTGGGGGTGCTGAGATAGAGGGTGAGGGTTCAGGGGGTGCTGCGCCTGGGGGTGCTGTGACTGGGGGTGCTAGTTCTGGGGGTGCTGAATCTGGGGGTGCTGCGAGTCCTAGTGGCGGTCGAGCTGTGGGTGACCCTGCTGGAGGTCCTAGAGCTGGGCAGTTACCGCAGCCTGATCTACTTGAGACGCTCTCGCCGCAGGCGATTCGTTCGTGGATCGTTCGGCGAGGCTGTCCTGGTGGTGGAGGGTACGGTCCTGCTGGTGCTGGAGCTGCTAGTCCTGGAGGTACTACTGGTGCTGGAGGTACTAGAGGTGCTGCTGGTGCTGGAGGTACTGGAGCTGCTAGTCTTGGAGGTACTGGAGGTACTGGTGGTGCTGGAGGTACTGGTGGTGCTGGAGGTACTGGAGCTATTAGTCCTGGAGGTGCTACTGGTGCTGGAGGTGCTAGACCTCCTAGTTCTTGAGGTACATCTGGTGCTGGAGGTGCTGGAGGTGCTGGAGGTGCTGGCACTGGAGGTGCTGGCACTGGAGGTGCTGGAGGTGCTGCTGGTGCTATTGGTGCTGGAGCTGCGGGAGCTGCTGGTCCTGGAGGTGCTCGTACTAGAGGTACTGGAGCTGTCGGAGCTGGTGGTGCTGCTCGTGCTGGAGGTGCTACTGGAGCTGCTGGCACTGGAGGTGCTGGTGCTGCTGGTGCTGGAGGCGCTGGAGCTGGAGGTACTGGAGGTGCTGGAGCTGCTGGTCCTGGAGGTGCTCATACTAGAGGTGCTGGAGCTGTCGGAGCAGGTGGTGCTTCTGGTGCTGGAGGTGCTGGAGGTGCTACTGGAGCTGCTGGCACAGAAGGTGTTGGAGGTACTAATGGTGCTGGAGGCGCTGGAGCTGGAGGTACTAGAGGTACTGGAGGTGCTGGAGCTGCTGGTCCTGGAGGTGCTGGAGCTGCTAGTCCTGGAGGTGCTCGTACTAGAGGTGCTGGAGTTGCCGGAGCAGGTGGTGCTGCTGGTGCTGGATGTGCTGGAGGTGCTACTGGAGCTGCTGGCACTGGAGGTGCTGGAGGTACTGCTGGTGCTAGAGGTGCTAGAGGTGCTGGCGCTGCCGGAGCTCGTGGTGCTGCTGGTGATGGAGGTGCTTGTCAGAGGTCCACTGGTGATCCCCGATTGATCCTAGGGAAGGGTTACAGGCTCGTCGTCCTAGGGGGTTATGGGCGCACTGACCCGCTACTGAACAAGCCTTTTTATCCCAATGGTCTAGTGGTTGGGATTCTGACAGTGCTGGTGCTGCTGGTGCTGGAGGAGCTGGAGCTGCTGGTACTGCCCCGCGCCGACTGTTTTTATACCCGCAGCTGCAGTCGTCCCTGCCGCCGCCTGACTCGGTCCTTTGCCAAGTTCTTAGTCTCCCGTCTTCCACTGGCCTCACTCCACATCTCTTGTGTCCACCGACAGACCAGTCTCAGCCACAGCTACTGCCAAACTCCCCGCTGCCTGCTCCTGCTCCTCTGACTGAGGTGTCTGGGTCCCTGACTGAGCGTCGTGAGCCTGAGACTCATGCTTCCACACCTGTTCGTGCTCGTCGTGTTGTCCGTCCTCGTCCTCCTGCTGTCCCAGGCACTCACGGTATGGCACTTTGTCCTTCCTCTGTTCCACAGCATGTTGTCCTGCCTAAGCCCCCCGCGTCCTCTCATACGCACGTTCCTGACCCTGAGTTCGACCTTGCTCGTGCTGCCAATCCTACTGTCACTCGTCTCCTTGCTACTGTCGTCACTGACCCTGACTTTGAGTTTACTGCAGCGTTTGCCCTAGTCACGGAGCTAGTCGACTTTGCAGCTAGGAGTCGTCTCGACTACGTCGCGAGTCTTGTTACTGAGTCTGAGTCTCTCTGTTCTCTGTTCGTCGAGGGTGAGCCTGCCCTTGGCAGTGACGTCCTTAAGGACAGACAGTTTGAGCTTGAGTGTCTTGCGACCGCTTTACCTCGTTTCGCATCCATGCTGCTTTGCCCTGAGGGAGTATCGGATGCACTTGAGATCCCTACCCCGCGCTCTTACACTGAGGCGATCTCGGGTGAGTACTCCTCTCAGTGGCAGATAGCCATGGACGCAGAGATGGCTTCATTGAAGTCCACAGGCACCTACGTCGACGAGGTTCCTCCTCCTGGGGCGAACATAGTCGATGGCATGTGGATTTTCAGAGTGAAGCGGCCGCCGGGTTCTCCGCCTGCCTTCAAGGCGCGTTACGTTGCTCGAGGCTTCAGACAGCGACAAGGGGTCGACTTCCAGACCTTCTCCCCCACCCCGAAGATGACTACTCTTCGGGTGCTGCTGCACGTTGCAGCACAGCATGACTACGAGCTGCACTCCCTCGAATTCTCCACAGCTTTCTTGCAGGGCAGCCTTCATGAGGAGATCTGGCTGCGCCGCCCACCTGGCTTCACTGGGTCGTTTCCTGCAGGTACCCATTGGAGCCTCCGGCGGCCAGTCTACGGCCTCCGTCAGGCGCTCCGAGAGTGGCCCGACACACTGAGGACTACACTTGCGGCTCTTGGGTTTGCTCCTTCCTCTGCTGACCCGTCGCTGTTTCTACGCGCCAACACTACCATGCCGCCGTTCTACGTTCTCGTCTACGTCGACGACTTGGTTTTTGCTACTGCTGACACTGAGGCGCTGGCCCTAGTGAAGGCGGAGCTGCAAGAGAGACACACCTGCACTGACCTGGGTGAGCTGCGTAGCTATCTTGGCTTGCTGATCACCCGGGATAGAGCACGGAGCACCATCACCCTGACTTAGTCACACATGGTGCACCAGGTCCTTCGGCGCTTCGGCTTCCAGTTCTCCTCGCCACAGCCCACTCCTCTGTCTACCGGCCACTCCCTCTCAGCTCCACCTTCGGACGAGTCCGTAGAGCCGAGTGGTCCGTACCCAGAACTTGTGGGTTGCCTCATGTACCTAATGACGTGCACACGTCCTGACCTCGCGTACCCTCTCAGCCTCATGGCTCGCTACGTGGCTCCTGGTAGACACCGAAAGGTGCACTGGGATGCTGCGAAGAGGGTACTGTGTTACTTGTGCAGTACATCGGGCATGTGGCCCGTGCTTGGAGGACTGGGTTCAGTGGTAATCACAGGACACTCCGATGCTTCTTTGGCCGACGACCAGGCGACTCAGCGTTCGTCACAGGGTTACACTTTCAGTCTTGACTCTGGTTCTGTCTCGTGGAGGTCCACTCGTTATTCTTCTGTGCTTAGTTCCAGCTGTGAGGCCGAGATCTACGTTGGGGCCATGGCTGCACAGGAGCTCCGCTGGCTGACCTACCTGCTGACCGACTTGTGGAGCGGCCTCGTTCTCCTCCGCGTCGACAACAAGGTCATGCTTGCCTTGTGTCGGGAGAAGAGATTGGAGCACAGAACGAATCACATTGCTCTTCGCTTCTTTCTTGCTCGAGAGTTGCAGCAGCGTGGTCAGCTTCGTCTTTCTTACGTGGCCACTCGGGCCAACACTGCTGATGTCTTCACCAAGGCCCTCGGGTCTGGTGATCTTCAGCGTTTTTTCATTGCTCTTGGGCTTCTGCCCGTTCTACATCACCTGCTTGTCTCTTGATCTTGCAATTGTTGTACACTGATATCTAAATTTATACCTGCATGTTTCCTCTTGCTAGGTTGTGATCAGTGTACTATCTTGCTATTATAACTCTGCATGTGAACTGGCCTTGTGGCCGCTTGCTTGTGCTCGGATTGTGTGGTGTCCTTGAGATCCACCATGAGCTTTGTTTTGCTTTGCTATGTTGTCTTGCTTGACTGGTCTTGTGACCATCTTGTTGTCCCCCACTTAGCCTATGGGGGTGTGTCAAAGTACAAAATTACTTGTAGGCTATAGTGGGGCACTCTTTATGGGGTATAGCACTTCTAGGATTAGTACTTGTACCCCAGCTCTTGCTTATCCAATCATTCCGGCACAGTTGATTCTGACACCGTCCTCGCCAGGAATGCGTCATAGACGGCCCCTTTGTGATAACTCCGCGCATCTGTCCAATGTCACCTTCGTAGTGAGTGTGTGGCTGCTGGGGGGCTTGATGGTGCAGGGCTACGAGAATTGCGCAGGGCTACGAGATGGCGCAGGGCTACGAGATGGCGCACATCCTCAGGAGAGAGTCCTGCCTCTTGCTGTGCCTGCTGCCCTCCCCTTTGACTGTCTCTCACTCCCATGCTCCACTCCCTCCCTCCCTCACTCACTCCCTCCCTCCCCCAATCCCCCCTCCCTCCCTCTCTCTCCCTTCCTCCCTACCTCCCTCCCTCCCTCCCTCCCTCCCTCCCTCCCTCCCTCCCTCCCTCCCTACCTCCCTCCCTTCCCCCCTCCCTCCCTCCCTCCCTCCCCCCCCCCCCCCCCCCCCCCTCCCCTTCACCAGGAATGCGTCACAGATGGCCCCTATGTGATATGGTAGCCCCGCTCATCACCTTAGAAGTGAGCGTGCGGCTAATGGGGAGCCTGGTGGTGCTGGGCTACGAGATGACGCACATCTTCAGGAGGGAGCCGCGCGTCTTCCACTAAAAGCATCATATTATGATGGTCAAGCTGGACTGACTCAAGCAGAAAGGGATTCACAATTATCCAATACACCATCGTTTTTCCCATCTTGCACAATTGATGATTTGAGAGGTGCCATTGGCTACTCAGAAATTCTTTCTGCTTATGTAAAATAACAAAATATTGGAGGAATTCCCCCAGAGCCCCAGTTTCTGCCCCATTGATGGAGGGGAAAATATGCCGTTCGTAACCATCATGGGACTCGAAAACATATTTGGTAAAAAAATAAAGGGTACGGTCACTGCAAAGGGTGTTTTCACGCGACTGATAAAGAGTTTCACGGAATCAGTCACAATCAGCTGGTAAAAAAAAACGCGAATGGTCACAGATGAAACTCCCGCCAAAACAAAATGAAACCCAGAAAGAACCTGGATGCATTTTCGGATGATCAACACTAAACACGTAACTCGCCAGGTGTTTAGGGTTGATCCGTTCCCAAACCGCTTCCGATTTCGATTGGGTTTTAGTTTTTTTACAAGTTCGCAGATTGGTTGGGCGCTAGCGGGAATTTTGTTGAGTTTCAAGTTTTTTTGGCGGGAGTTACATGTGTGACCATTCGCGTGATTTTTTACCTGTTGTTAGTGACTGAATCCGTGACCCCGCTTACCAAACCCGTCAGAAAACCCGATACAGTGACCGTGCGCGTTTTTTTTTACCATTCACGTTATCGAGTCCCAAGTTGGTTACTTGTGGCATATTTTCCCTTGATGGAGTCTTCCGTAGAAGGTTCAATACACAGGTACAAGGTCGAGTTCTACCTGATCCCATACGTGGTGAATGGTCTTGGGAGGAAGGTTTTCATTAAATGCAATTTTTTTACAAAACTGTGAAGGTGGTCAAAAATAGCTATTTACGAGCATTTAGGCCTCGTTGAGTGCAGCGACACCTGGCAACACCTTGCCCTCGAGAAGCTCCAGGGAGGCACCGCCACCGGTGGAGATATGGCTCATCTTCTCAGCCACTCCCACCTTCTCAACAGCCGCCACGGAATCACCGCCACCAATGATGGTAATCACACCCTTGCCGCTCAAATCCGCAAGCTTGTTCGCGACGGCCTCAGTACCGACGGCGAACTTGTCGAACTCGAACACACCCATGGGGCCGTTCCAGATGACGGTCTTGGAGGTGTCGAGCGCCTCGTTGAACGTCTTGACGGAGTCAGGGCCGATATCGAGACCCATCCAGCCGTCGGGGATGTCCTTGGCCGACACGATCTGCAGTGAGGCAGGAAGAAGAGGGAGGAACATTGTTAGAAGGTTGAGTTCTTTTATGAAACGTGAGCTTGCCAAAATGACCCATTAAGTGTGTATGGACGAGTAAGACCCCGGACTGTGACCAGGAAAGGGAAAGAACCAGAAAACAAGACCGTCGAATGAAATTATCCGAACAACGGACCTGGGAGTTGGCGTCAGGGGCGAACTTGTCGGCGATGACAACATCGGTGGGCAGCAGCAGCTTCACGCCCTTCTCCTCGGCCTTCTTGATCAGGCTCGTCGCGAGCTCCACCTTGTCCTCCTCCACCAGCGACGCGCCGGTCTTGTACCCGAGCGCGCGGTAGAACGTGAAGATCATGCCACCGCCGAGCAGCAGAATGTCGCACTTGGCGAGCAGCGACTCAATCACGCCGATCTTAGACGACACCTTGGAGCCACCGACGATGGCAGCGAAGGGACGGGTGGGGCTGGTGACGGCGCCATCGAGGTAGTCAAGCTCCTTCTGGAGGAGGAAGCCGGCGACGGAGGGCTTCAGGAACTCCGTTACTCCGGCGGTGGAGGCGTGCGCCCTGTGCGCCGTGCCGAACGCGTCGTTGACGTACAGGTCGGCGTTGGCGGCGAGCTTCTCGGCGAACTCCTTAACGTTCTTCTCCTCCTCGGGGTAGAAACGCACGTTCTCGAGGAGCACGACGCCGCCGTTGGGGAGCGCCGCGACGGCCTTCTCAACCTCCTCGCCGATGCAGTCGTTGGTCTTGACGACCGTGATGCCCAGCAGCTCCGACAGGCGGTTCACCAGCGGGTTCAGGCGGAACTTCTCGGTCACACCCTTCGGGCGACCCTGGAATCACGGATGGAAAAGAAATTAGCATTAGAAACATTGCTAACAGAAATTGGAAACAAACAATAAATGTAGAGCTGACAGTTCGTAATGGTAGTAAGTGTTAAAAGTACAAACGGCAACTTGGCATCTCTTTGCAGCCAAAACCGGGCAATGCCAATGTTTAAGCATGTCAGTATGTCTTACCAAATGGCTAGTGAGGAGGACCTTAGCGCCCTTCTCCATGAGGTACTTGACGGTGGGCACGGCAGCGCGGATACGCGTGTCGTCAGTGATGTTGAAGTCCGCATCGAGCGGCACGTTCAGGTCCGCGCGCACGAACACGCGCTTGCCCTTCAGGTCCGCCTCCGTCAGCGAACCCACGCTCTTCTTCGCCATGGTTACCACACCGCGGGTGCCCTTGCCCGCCTTGGCGACGTGCGAGGCGACGGCGGACTGGATGTCGTGCTCAATGGCGAAAATGTTGGCGAACTTCTGGTTGTCCTTGTTACCAGCGACCAGGCCGTTGAAGGACCTGATGCCGGCGGACGCCCGGACAGAGCTGGAGCCGGCACTGCTGCCCTGGGAAAGGGCCGCGCGGGGCGCGACGACCACCTTGGAGGAGGTAGCGACGGTAGCAGCCATTCTCAAAGGATATCTGAGAAATGGATGAGAGGAGGAAGTCGCAGGAAGCAGGAGACTAGCTGCTGCTCTGTAATTGCGAAGAAACGCCGTTCAGATTACCAGGGAAAAGATACTTCTGGCTATTTATGGGAACGATGCTGGCCTGAATGTGTCTGGTCCGTTCCAAGATAATCTCCACTGACTCCCAATCCCACACAACTCTCTCCACCCATCAGGAATCTGGAATCAGAATTCGTGGAGTTGCTGTGACACAGCTGGCTGGGAGTCCACTACAGCAGCGAGTGGCTGGGAAGCAGCCATGGTTGCGGAAATGGATTGGCGGTGGATGGAAGAAAGTGCGACAACAAGCGAAATTTCGTCTAGACTCGCAGTGAAGGCGAGGGTCGCGAAATAAGTCTTGCGAATGCCGCGTGTGCAATGCGAATCGCTTCGAATGGCGCAAAGGAGGGGTTCAATTGACACGTCAGCCGCAATGTCACACGCAACCACGAGTTTCCATATCCACATTTCTGTGCCTATCTGTGTTGAGAAGCTTCCGCGTGGCAAAGATCTATCCGATGTGGCTGCTCTGGCATAACGACAGCTGGAATGGCTGACATGGCGGATCTTTACAAGCAACTGATGTGTTAGCGTGTTCAAATGGTACATCGTCAACAAGCCGAATATATAAAACGTCCTACAGGAATCCAGCTGTTCATTAGAATGGATCCCACTATTTCGTGACAAGGAAATGCCATATAATTTTCTACATTTACCGAGCTCAACGCCCCCACAGGAACACCGTTTAACGCAACACAGCTAATTCACCACTTAACCGAAACCAAAGCCCTCACTGGCTTCGTGAATGGCCAACAGAAGTCTCTCCTGTAGCTGCTCCTTGGTGCTGTACTCCGGCAAGTCCAATTGGTTGAAACTGTTACAAGAGAAGGGAAAGAGTGGGTGAGAGCTGCTTACGAAAGTAGCACTGAAAACAACGTCAAGGAACAACTACGGTATAAGAGGTACATGAAAGAACCATGGATGACAGTGCCTACACATGAGAAATTATTGGGAGAAAATGGGAGGACAGGGACTGGGCCCGAGGGGGAGGTGGGGAAGGGGAAGGAGGGCGAATTTGGGAGTGTGGGAGAGCTGAGATAAAATGAGGGATGAGAGCGGGAGGTCACGCACCATGTGTGAGCGGAGGGCAGCCTCTTGTTGTCGCCATACGCCTTGTGGATCTGGAAGCGTTGTTGGCCCGACAGCCCTTGCAGCGCCTTGAAACCCTCCAGCGGAACCTGCAATGGTGCGGAGGAGAGTGCAGCAAAAGCGAATTTGGATAGGTCAGGCGCGGCAGGGCCTTTACGTGAGTGTGGTGTCACACGCGAGCCGTGTTCTCCTTGCATTGTGATGGTAGCTCAATGTTTCCTTCTTTACCCACACCTTGAACATTCCTCCCTCTGCGCTCACATATACTTGAACATGCCTCCCTCTTCTCTCATCTCACCTTTGGAAGTGCCGGTGACAAACTGCAGCAGGCGGGCACGGTCCTCCTTGCAGTGTGGTGTTACATTGAAATTACCCCCTATGCCATCACCTTGAGCATGACTCGCTCATCTCACCTTGGAAGTGCCGGTGACGAACTGCAGCAGGCGGGCGCGGTCCTCCTTGGAAAGATGAGCCACCACGTCCCAGAACCACTGGATCTGAGGCGACCCTGCCGTGTACCCCGTGTAGTCCGTGTTGCTGCGCAGGTCGTCAACTGGGAGGGAAGAGGACAAGCAGGGACAGTGTGAAAGAAAGGAAAGAATTAGAGAAAGCGAAGGGATAGAAAGGTGAGAGAGAAGCGAGGATCCGCGGGTACCCCATGCATTGTCCATGTTGCTGTGCAGGTCAGAGAAGCACTCACTGTCAATCTCAGGCAGGCCAGAGATCAGCAGCTCCAGCTCCTTATCATTGAACATGGCAATGAGATCCTTGGGAATGAGCTCCGTGAATCCCTCCATGGATGCAGCGATCCGCATACCACCTCCCTTCCCTCCAGCTCCTGCTAGCAACCCCACTACCTCACTACCACACAAACCCATGCAAGCAGCACTCACTGTCGATCTCCGGCAATCCTGAGATGAGCAGCTCCAGCTCCTTATCATTGAACATGGCGATGAGGTCCTTTGGAATCAACTCCGTGAACCCCTCCATGAACGCCGCGATCTGCGGGCGGATGGCAGCCGTCATGCGGTAGTCGGCTACAGCGTCCACGTACTCGTGCTTGTTCTCCTCCGTCACCCGGATGTTGCGACCTCCGGGGATGAGCTCGTGGTCCGTCACCTGTTGGGGGGATGCAAGAGAGACAGGGGGAGCGAAAGGCAAATGTTCGTGAAGTAGAGAGCCGGTGAATAAACTCTCGTGCCCCAAATCTTGCAGAAATCAACCGTGGTGAACAATGATGGACAATGGTAATGGTGCAGAGCAGAAGAAAACAGCACCCCCCTGGCTCACCTCAGTGCGCTCGTAGAGAATGCGCTTCTCCTCGTCCGCGTCCATGCTGAACGTGAGATCCAAGATGTCACTGATGTCGTTCTGGTGGGTGGGTGGGGGGTGGGGGGGGGTTGCACAGACAAAATATGAGGCCATGGGGGATAAAAGCGTGCACGCTGAATGTGAGATCCAAGATGTCGCTGATGTCGTTCTGGTGGGATTTGTGGGGGGGATGGAAGAGGGGGATATGAGAGTAGGATTTGAATAGAGGTTATGGGGGCACAGGCGGATGAGGTCAGAGGGGATAGGAGCGAATCCGGCAAGCAACCAGGGGGGGAGAGTGGTCAGCGAGGCACATTCACACTCACACTTTCACATACCATTCAAAATCCGCCTCACATTAACAAGTCCGCGCCTCACACTTACCTCGAGCATCCACTGCAGGTTCTTGTAATAGTCAGGGTCGATGGCCTCTATGTCATGGAACGTGATCTTCACGCCCAGAACAAGGCACTGATGGGCTCCACAAAGCAGCAGCAGCATGCATGCACCTAACTTACAGCACGGTACAGCCTACATGTGCAGCAAGCAACCCCCCACCACACTTACCTCGAGCATCCACTGCAGGTTCTTGTAATAGTCCGGGTCGATGGCCTCTATGTCATGAAACGTAACCTTCACGCCCAGGATGTGCTTGTAGAAGGAGCGCGTGAAATGCACGTCTAATAGCTGCCCATCATATAGAGCCTTGGCCACCTGCACATGGGTTTTGAAAGAGCAAACAGATGACCTTCACGCGCAGGATGCGCTTGTAGAAGGAACGCGTGAAATGCACGTCTAATAGCTGGCCGTCATATAGAGCCTTGGCCACCTGCGCACAAGAATTGGGTTTCGGATTGGGATGGGGACGGGGTTGAAGAACCATGAGGTGACCTTCACGTGCAGGAGGATGTGCTTGTAAAAAGACCGCGTGAAGTGCACGTCCAGCAGTTGACCATCGTACAATGCATTGGCCACCTGGAGTGGGAATGCGAAAAGCAGGGTGGAAGGCAGGGTTGAAGGGCCGTGAGGTGACCTTCACGCCCAGGATGTGCTTGTAGAAGGAGCGCGTGAAATGCACGTCCAACAGCTGACCGTCATACAGTGCTTTGGCCACCTGTAGGCAGGGATTGGAGGGGAGACAAAGGGAAGGAGGAGACGGCGGGGTGGAGGGTTCAACAGCAATCAGGTGACCTTCACGCCCAGGATGTGCTTGTAGAAGGAGCGAGTGAAATGCACGCCTAGCAGCTGCCCGTCATACAGTGCCTTGGCCACCTGTAGGCAGGGATTGGGTTTAGGGTTGGGTTGAGGAGTGGGGGAGAAAAGCGGTTGAAGAGCAATCCAGTGACCTTCACGCCCAGGATGTGCTTGTAATCAGAGAGCGTGAAATGCACTTCTAGCAGCTGCCCGTCGTATGATGCCTTGGCCACCTGCACACAGGCAGTGCGGAAGTGGTGGGTGGGCGAAAGTGGTTCGAAGAGCATAAAATGGTCCCCAACCCTCTTGCTCAGAACGTGTTTTTTGAGGTGCCTAAAAAATTGAGGTGTATTTTGTATTTTGAGGCTCCTTAAAATACACCTAAATGGTCCCCAGCCCTCTTGCTCAGAACGTGTTTGTCGATAGAAGGTGAAAGAAACTAGGAGAATAGCATATGTAGCAGCACATGTGGCAGCACATATGGCAGCACTCACCACTCGCCCCACGAATTTGAAGTAGGACAGATGACCCGGCTGCAAGACAGAGTTAGGGTTGGGCTGGAAGGAGGTGTCGTTGCCGACGGTGGTGAAGAGCAGAGCGCCCTTGTCAAACACCACGCGCGACAGCTGCTGGTACCACTCGCGCGTCACACCCCCTGCGTCGATGCCCTCCTCTCCCTGGAAGTGCACGTTCAGCCGCCCCCGTAGCTCCTCCGCTGTCCGCATGCGCAGCTGTGGAAAGAGGGAAAGAGATATGGGGAGGGTGGGATGAAACAGGGGGGATTGTGAAGCGAAGTAACAGCGGGAAAGGAGGGCAGTATCGAACACGGCGAGAGCAGTGACGAGCATTCTCATCCTCGCCGTCGAACTCTGCAGCATACTCGAAAGAAAGAGCAGACACAGACATAGACACATATACAGACAGACATACACACACCGTCAACGTTTCACTTGGTTCTGAGCAGGCCTCAACAATCAAACCCTCTCACCTGGTTGTTCGAGTCTTCAAGGATGTACGGCCGCCTGACAGTGATCCGCAGCATGCCGTAGTGCGGCTGCTCCTGCAGCTGCCTCATCCCCAACCATTGGAAAGGCCTCAAATGCTCTCACGTGGTTGTAAGAATCCTCGAGGATGTTTGGCCGCCTGACAGTGATCCGCAGTGTGCCGTAATGCGGCTGCTCGTGCAGCTGCCTCATCCTCGCCCTAAAGTAAGCGCGCATGTTGTCAAAGTCCAGCACCCACGCTCAGTTGAGCACAGCAGCACCACCGCAAACGACCGCTCCAGTTTTGACACGTCTAGATTAATGTCCTACCTGCCTGGTTTTAACAAGTCTATGCAGTCAAATATTTCTCTCACCTGGTTGTATGAATCTTCAAGGATATATGGCCGTCGGACCGTAATCCGCAGTGTGCCGTAGTGCGGCTGCTCGTGCAGCTGCCTCGTCCTCGCCCTGAAGTAAGCGCGCTTGTTGTCAAAGTCCAGCACCCACGCCCACTTGAGCAGCACCGCAAACGACCGCTCTAGAAGCGCTGGGTTGCCGCGTACGAACGCGTTGAGCAGGCGGCGGTGGCGCTCTGTGAAGCGCAGGAGAGCAGAGGAAGGCGAGGAGGAGGAGGGGATGGAGGTGATAGAGGAGGAAGAAGGGATGGGTGCTAATGTGGTGGTGGTGGCAGCAGCAGCCTCTTGTGTTGCTGCTGCTGCTGCTGCTGCAGGACTGGAGCCAGGAGCAGGGGCAGAAGGAGCGGCAGCTGGAGCATCCGCAGCAGCAGGAGTTGAATCAGAGGCAGCAGCAGCAGCTCCCCCAGCAGCAGCACCTTTCTCCTTGCTGCTCGTCTTGTCACACAACACAAAGAAAGACTCTACAAACGGTAACAGCTGCTGGGCTGCTGATGGCAGCGGCGACACCGCACCTCCCCCGGCTGCCCCTCCTCCCACGCCTGCCGCGCCCTCCGCCGCCGAACCTGCAGGTCCGGCCGAAGCGGACAGGGCCGGGTGCTTCTTGTACCGAGCCTCAAGCTTGCCACAACACTCGGATAGGACTTGCCAGAGAGGGTGGAGCGACGTGACCAGGTGTGCAATGACAGCCTGGCATTCTGCCTCGGATGCCGGTCCTGAGGGGGAGTCACCATCCCAGGCGGGTGGGAGGGAGGAGGCTGGTTGTGAGAGGAGCGAGGTGAGGGTCTTGAGGACGCGGAGAGTGGCTGCTCCTGCTCTCGTCAACCCCCATGGCTTGCCGCTTACAGCAGCTAGTGCTGATGGTGCTGCAGGTGCTGCTGCTTCCTGCCCTTCCATAGACGCTCTCTCACTCTCCGTTGCTGCCCCTGTTCCTGCACCTGCACCTGCTCCCTCCTCTCCCCCACCCTCCTCACCATCCGCCCCCTCCACCACCTCCAGCAGCTCCCGCGTGGCCGGCGAGCTGAGCTGGCGTGCCGCCTCTGCCAGGTCAGCAACAAACAGTGCGCGGTACTTCGGAACCACAGCAGTAACCAGCCTCAGCACAGCGACAGCGCGCGAGTACGAGGCGTCTGACAGGCCCTCCTGGGCGGGCAATTGGGAGAGAATGCGGAGGTCGGGGTGGGGAATGCGGAGGAAGACTGTCACTGGGATGGGCACTGGGGGAGTGGGTGGAGCAGCGGGGACAGGGGGTTGGGTGGTGATGGTGGGAGGGGATGTGAGTGTGGAAGTGGGTGGGATGGTAGCAGCAGCCGAGGGAGCAGTAGCAGTATCTGTTCCAGTTAAAAGAGCGGCAGCATCGGCTGTTGCAGCTGCTGTTGTTGCCGCTGCTGCAGTCTCTGCCGCAGCTGTTGGAGCTTCTTCTTGGGTTTCACTTGGTTGCTCTCTGCCCTCCTGCCCCTCCTGCCCTGCTTGCCCCTCCCCTCCGTCTTCTCTCTCCCTCTCTCCCATCTCTACATCCCCACCCGCAGGTCCAGCCTCGGCAGTCCCCGGACCTGAACCACCCTCCATCCGAACCTCTGCCACTGCCTCGGCAGGGCCTGAACCACCAACTCCTGCCACCCCTCCTGCTCCTGCTGCTGACGTGGATGCATCTGCCACTGGTACGCTTGCTACTGCCGGTGCTTCTCCTGCTGCTTGCCCCTCGAGCCTAGCAGCATCGGCAGGGACAGCTGCACCAGCGGCAGAAGTGGCAGTACTGCCAGCGGTAGCTGGCGTTGTAGTGGCAGCAGTAGCGGCAGGAGTGGCAGCAGCAGCGCTGGCAGGTGTGGCAGCAGCAGCAGCAGCGGCAGCAGCAGCGGCAGCATTGAGGGCCTCCTCTGCTGCTGCCCGAGCTACCACCTCCATGAGACCCAGCAACTGCACGCCATGCCCACACACACATGGGGAGACAGGGGGGGAGGGGGGGAGGAGAGATGAGCAATCGCAAGAGGGTTGACTCCTTCATAAGATAAAGTCGACTCTGGTGCTGCGCGAGCTACCACCTCCATGAGACCCAGCAGCTGCATGACATGCATGGACCTAGACAAGCAGCGTTGCACTGACCTGTTCCAAGTGGGGGGAGCTGCGGAGGTACAGAGGCTGTCTCAACAAGTGCAGCATCAGCACAAACGGCACCTCCCCTTCCCCCCCTTCTCCCCCTTCCTCCTCCGCCTCCCCATCAACACCCTCTTTTCTCTTCCCCTTCGTTCCCCTACCCGCAACCCCCGTCTCCACCAATTCCCCTGTTTTTGCAGCTCCATCTGCTGCTCCTCCTGCTGACCCTCCTGCTCCTGCTCCTCCTACAGCCTCCTCTGCTACTTCCGTCACCTTCGCCTTGCCCTTGCGCTGCTCCCTCTCCTTCGCCCTCTCCCGCTCCTCCCGCTGCTGCTGAGCCAAGCGAGTGAGCGCGGATGGGAAGAGCAGCAGCAGCTGTGTGGCTGCCATGGAGTGGCGAGACAGGTACACCAGCAGCTCTAGAACCCGCCGAGACACGAGGGGAGGGATACCTGATGGGGGGTGAGGGAGGCACAAGGGGAATGGTGAACACTAAGGCATGCGGGTGGCTACCATGGAGTGGCGAGACAGGTACACCAGAAGCTCTGGGACACGACGAGAGACGAGGGGAGGAATACCTGTGGGGAGACAAGGGGAGGCACAAACGGAAAGGGCGACATAAGAGCAGTGGGGAGGCTGCCATGGAGTGGCGAGACAGGTACACCAGCAGCTCTAGAACCCGCCGAGACACGAGGGGAGAGATACCTGATGGGGGGAGAGGGAGGCACAAGGGGAATGGTGAACACTAAGGCATGCGGGTGGCTGCCATGGAGTGGCGAGACACGGAGGGTGGTTGCGGCACGGGAAAACGCACAACAAGCAGTGCCCAGCTCGAGTCCTTGAGCGTTTGAGCCATTGAGTCGATAGCATGCAAGGCGAGAAACTCACTGTTGGGGAGCTGCGGTCGAGCATACACCACATTGGACTGGCAGCAGTACAGCTGGTGTGGTGGAGCGCCATCCGCTGCTAACCCACCCTCACCCACACCCTCAGCCTCTGCAGCTGCACCAAGCGCTGCAGGCGTTGCAGCTGTTGCAGCCTCACTGCCTTCCACTGCAGATGCTGCACCGCCCTGCATGGCTGCCGCATTCTGGTCTGTTGGAGGCTGCCCCGTGGGATGCTGGTCCATTGGATCGGCATCCGGGCGCAGAAGATCTAGCAGGATGCGCACAAGGGCTGCTCGGGTGACGGCGTGTGACGCGAGGTTGGTGAGCAGACGCGGCAGCAGAGCCTTTTGCAGGGGCTGGTGGGGGGAAAGGTGGGGAAGGGGGAGGGAGAGAGAGGAGGGAAGAGAGGAGGAACGAGAGGTAACCATCAAGACAGGCAACATTGCAGGCAGTGTCACAGATCGTGACTGAGGAAGGCTGAAATCAGATGAACCCACCTGGGAGATGCGCAGCAGGCGAATGAGCGCCTTGAGCGCCCTCTCATCCACCACTGGCACCTTCTCCTCCTCCCCGCCCTCCCCACCACCTCTCCCTGCCCCCGCTCCCGCCCCTGCCCCCGCCCCTACCCCAGCACTCTCCCGCTCCCTCCTCCCCATCCCCGCTGCAATGAACCCCCTGGTGAATTCTCCCACGCCGCCCTCCCCAGCAGCCACAGCGAACGGGTGAGGGGGCCGGCGGTGGGCGGTGGTACCACCAGCAACAGCAGGGGAGCGGCGGATGGGACCGCCGAAGATGGCGTGGCGGGGGTGCGTGGGGTGCTGGTGGCGAATGGAGTACTGCTGCTGCATCGCCCGCTCTCTCAGCAGCTGCGCTTCAGCTAGCAGGGCGGGCGGGAGCGATGCCAGCACTGCTTCGGATGAGGTGAGCAGGACCTCTGCTCGCAGCTCCTCAGGGAATGTTGCAATGATGGACGCGCTGTCCATGTCCACAGGATGCCCATCCGCACCTGCTGCTGCTGCTGCAGCCATGAGGCGCTGTGCCTGCTGCTGCGCCAGCACCTCCGCCTGAATATCCGGCGGCAGCGCTGCTAAGAATTCCGGATCCAGCTCCCCCGTGTCCTCCCCTCCCAACCCTGCTGCTGCTCCCCCTCCCGCTCCCGCACCCCCTGCTCCCCCCGCTCCGCCTGCTCCCCCGGCGGCCCCCGCTCCCCCCGCTCCTTCCCCTGCCGCGCCTCCCCCTGCCTGCCCCTGTGGCTGTGCGGCCTGCTGCTGGGCACGTCTCTGGCGGGCCTGCCGGGCAGCTCTCTCCACGTGGAAGGAGGCTAGCACCTCTGCCCTTAGGTCCTCCGGTAGAGCCTCCAGGAAGGTTGGGTCGATCTCTGGGAGATCCTCCTCCTCGTCTGCTGCTGCTGCTGCTGCTGCTGCTGCTGCTCCACCTGTGCTCGTGCCTGCTGCACCACCTGAAGCACCCGCGGCTGCATCCGCTGCAGCACCACCTGATGCTCCAGCCGTTGCCCCTGACGCATCAGTGGTGGGCGGGACAGGAACAGCAGGGATGGCAGGTGCCGCAGCAGCATCGGTCGCTGGAGCAGCAGCAGCAGAAGATGTGGCGCCAGCACTAGCAGGAGCTGCTTCCGCTTCAACTTCAGTCACTGTTACCGTTTCTCCTGCTTCTGCCACTCCTGCTGCTGCTTCCATTGCTGCAGCATCACCAGCAGCAGCAAGGGAGGGAGTGATCATCCCCTCACCAGCTGAAATCGGCTCCCCCACTTCCATGGCAGTCACCCCTGCTGTGTCTACCGCTGCTGTTCCTTGCGCCGCATCCCCTGCCACCTGCGTTGGTGTGCCTCCCTCTCCGACTTGCTGCTCTGCTGCCGTGCCACCAGCATTACTGGCAGCCAAAACAGCTGCTGCAGCCGGCACTGCCTCTCCTTCTAAGCCCAGCACAGCTGGAGCAGCAGTTGTAGCTGCAGTAGCAGCGGAAAGCCCAGCCGTAGCAGCAGAGAGCCCGGATGTAGCAGGAGAAAGCTCAGCTGTAGCAGCAGAAAGCCCAGCTGCAATAGCAGAAAGCCCAGTTGTAGCAGCAGAAAGCCCAGCTATAGGAGGAGGAAGAGGGGGAGGAGGAGGAGCAACAAGAACAGCAGCAGCGGCGGCAGCAGGAGCAGCAGGCGGGGCAGCACCAGCAGTGGCACCAGGCAGCAGCATGTCATCCCGCCCGTCTATGCTCCCCACCTCCACCTCCAGGCTCCTCAGGCTCTCACCAGCTGTGAATCCACTCCCCCCACTGTCCTGACTTGCCACTTCCACCTCTGCCTCTCTCTCCCTCTCACTCCCTCTCTCGCCCATCTGCACATCTCCAGCTGCTACGCCCTCCTCCTCCGCTCCTCTACCTGATTCCGTCCCTGCTGCTGCTGCTGCTGCTTCTGCCTCTGTTCCTGTTCCTGTACCGGTCTGAGTGGCGTCGGTACCTGCCTGCTCTCCTGCTGCTGCTTCTGCTTCTGCCGCAGCAGCTTCTGCTGCTGCTCGTGCAGTTGCCCCACCATTTCCTCCTGCCCCTGCCGCCCCACCCCCACCTTCTTGCCTCACCTCCCTCTCCTGCTCCCTCTGCCGCTCCTCCTGCCCCTCCCCCTGCTGCCTCTCCCCATTCCGCCCCGCACCACCTCCTCTCTGCCCCCCGGCCTCTCCCCCCTCCCTCCCTCCCCCTCTCCCAGCCTCTCGCCCGCCCTGCCGCCCTGCCTCGCGCACGCCTTGCATGGACTGCAGGAAAGCACTTTCCAGCGCCTGAGCAACAGCAGCGCCCGTCCCTGCAGGCTGCGGCAACCCATCATCCGTCCACCGATTCACCCTCCCGAACTCCCCTCGCCCCGCTGCGCCTCCCACCACCGGCCCTAGCCCACTCACCCCCATCGCCCTCGCCCTCCCCGGATCAAACTCCACCCCCGACGGATGCCCTATCCCCATGCCGCCCACGCCGCCCATGCCGCCCATGATGCCGCCCATGCCGCGAGGGTCAAGCAGCCCCCGGGCCTGCAGCATGTCCTCCAGGAAAGGATTCTCATACGCCATCATAAGGGATGCAACATCCCTCGCAAACGCCGCGTCTACTTCCATTCCTGGCCCTTGCCCGCCCCCAGCCCCCATCGGCCCGCCCACTCCCCCCATCATCCCCTGCATCCCCGCCAGGAGGTTAAAGAGCCGCGATCCCGGTGCTGCTGCTGCATGAGCGGGGGCAGACGCGGAGGCAGCGTCTGTCGGTGCTGCTCCAGGGGCGAACGGGCGAGCCAGCAGAGGGTGCACATGCAAGGGGCCTGCTCCCATCCGGCCAGCCTGCCCCTGCCCCGACCCCTGCCCCTGCGCCAGCTGCTGCTGGCCCTGCAGCGTGCTTCTTACCGCCGCTCTGCGCTGGTGACTCGCGAGGTGCCGCCCCCACCCCCACACCGGCTCATTCATATCAGCATACAGCGGATCGTTCAACACATCCCGCTGCATAAACCCTGGAAGGTCCATCAGCCCGGCTACATCCGCACCGCCCGCGAGCAGATGCACGTGATTGGCCCCAGTGACATCATCCCGCCACCTCACCTCTATAAACCTCCCTCCATCCTCCTCCCAATCCTCCAGATCCTCATCATCAGCCTCCTCTTCATCCTCGTCCATATCCTCGTCCTCATCCCCTTCATCCTCCTCCTCCTCGTCCTCCTCTGCTAGCCCACGTGCAAATTCGCGCCGCATGGCCCGGGCTGCGCGCTCCTCCTCCGCCTCATGGTCCTCCATGTCATCCCCCATGCCCATGCCACCCGGATGGAGATGCCCGTTGTCCTCCCCTCCATGCCCATGCTCCTCCTCATCCTCCTCGTCATCCTCATCATCATCATCATCATCATCATCATCATCATCATCATCATCATCATCATCATCATCATCATCATCATCATCATCATCATCATCATCATCATCATCATCATCATCATCATCATCATCATCATCATCATCATCATCATCATCATCATCATCATCATCATCATCATCATCATCATCATCATCATCATCATCATCATCATCATCATCATCATCCTCCTCCTCCTCCTCATCTTCCTCCTCTTCCAAATCCTCGTCCTCCTCATCCCCCTCCTCCATCCCCTCCTCCTCATCCTCCTCATCCCCATCCTCAATATCATCCTCCCCATCCTCGTCCTCCTCCCCATCCTCCTCTCCCTCCATATCCCCATCAACATCCTCCTCACCATCCTCATCTGCGCCCATATCATCAAATTCTCGGATCTGGAACCTCAGCTGCATGGGCCCTCTCATACCGCCCCCGCCCTCCACTCTTCTTATAATCGCCTCTGCTTCATGCGCCATCCCCCCTTCCTCCTCCTCCTCCTCCTCCCCCCCATGCCTTTCATCCTGCTCCATCGCCCTCCTCTCTTCCGCCCCTGCCCCACCTGTCTCCTCGCCTCCCTGCTGCCTCCCCTCCTCATCCCCCCCTCGCATCCTCTCACCCCCAGCATCTGTTCCTGCCTCTTCACCTCCAGAAGCCATTGCTCTCCCTCCCTCCCCACCAGCATCACCCATGGCTGTATCAGCACCGCCACCTTCCCCACCTCCTCCTACTACTGTCCCCGCATTCGTAACTGGTTCCGCCCCTGCTGTCCCCCCTTCCACTGCTACTTGGCTCGGCGCCCCTCCAGCCCCTGCCGAGCCAGCTTCCTGCCTTCCCGAACCTACAGCCCTGGTTACACCCACTGAAACGCGCTGCCCTGATGCCGGACCTCTCCCAGGCTCGGCACGCGCTTCCGAAGCTGAGGCTCGGGTGAGCACCTCCAGAGCCCTGAGGATCGAATTCACCAGCTTCGGGGAATCGGGGTGGTTTAGGTCAATTACACTCAGGGTCTCGAGGAGGTTAGGCAGCATGCCCACCTCAAGAGCCGTCTTGGCCATCTCTGCAGCGAAGGCAGAGGTTTGTGCGGAGCTGCCTGGCCCGCCAGGTGGATTGCTCCCATTGGACGACTGGGTAGAGAGCAGTGCGTTCATGAGGTCAAGGAACGACCTCACCTGCTTGTTGGGCACTTGAAGCTTTGCAGCAGCAACAGCAGCTGCTTCTGCACCCGAAACCACTGCTGCTCCACCTTCCCCTACTCCACCTGCTGCTCCTGCTCCTGCTGCGGCTGCTTCTCCTGTCAAAGCTGCTCCTGCCCTTTCCTGCTGCCGCACCTCTCCTGTCCTCCCCCCATCCTCCTTCCCAAACCGGCTCAGCGACTTGGAAATCTCCGAGAGCACGCGGCGCCGGCCCTCCCCGGAGCGCACGCACAGCGCAATGAGGAATGCAGACGCCTGGGTGCCCAGCCGATGGTGCCCCGGGTGGGAGGATCCGCCCTGCGCTGCTGCACTGCTTCCTGCTGCTGCTGATGCGGAGCTGGGCTTGTCGCTGAGGTATGGCAGCAGCTCGTGCAACACGTGGTGCACTATGCCCCCTCGGGATGCCCATGCAGATGCAGAGACGCCTGCTGATGAGTCAGGCTTACCTGGTGAAGGCTGTAGCTGGTGCTGGTGCTGGTGGTGATGGTGGTGGTCAGGTTTGGATTTGTGTTCGTGCTTGTCTGGAGTGTGCTTGTGTGCACGGGATGCTGTTCCCCTGTGCTGCTGTGGCGTGCCCGCCCCTGCTGACACACCCGAACCTGCACCCACTGCTGCTGCTGCTGAAGCACCTGCGGCAGCAGCAGACTCTGCATCCCTGCGGAGCACGAGAGTGCTGGCAGCAGAATACGCCAGTAGGATCTCTGTGAGCAGCCGCAGCACCAGCGTGGTTCGCGAGATTGTAAACTCCACCCTCTCCTTCTCCTCGTCCTGCTGCTGCTGCTGCTGCTTTGCCTTCTCCTTCTCCTTCTCTCCTTCCTTTTCAGCGGCTGCATTATTCTCAGCCCCCACTGCGTCCACCTCCATTGCCTCCCCTCCCAGGCCACCACCAACCCCAACCTCCATTGCAGCTACCCCATGCCCCTCAGACAGCTTCCCAGGTGCTTTCTCAGGTGTCTTTTCGGACGTCTTTTCAGGTGGCGGGAACTGCTGCAGGTAGGTCAGGAGCTGGTCAACGACAGAGGCGAAGCTCCAAGGGACTTTGCGCACCCGCCCTGACTTGGACACCCACGTCAGCACCTTGCCGTCTGCTGACTTGCTGTAGTGACCCGCCGGGGGATGGGGAGGCGGAGGAGAGGTTTGCGGAGAGGCTGAAAGGGGTGAGGATTGGTGGTGAGTGGTCTGGCCTGGAGCTGGGGATGGAGCAGAGGTGCTTGGTTGCCCTGCTGCTGCTGCTGCTGCTGCTGCTTCTGATGCTGCTCCTGCTCTCTGTTCCTTCTCCCCAACCCCCTTCTCCTTTCCTTTCTCCTTCTCCCTCCCCTTCTCCTTTCCTTTCTCCTTCTCCCTCCCCTTCTCCTTCTCCTCCTTCTCCTTCTTCTCCCTCTCCTTCTCCTTCTCTCGTTTCAGCACCACCACCTGCCGCCCACCAATACTCTCCACCTCACACACATTCCCCACCGCCTGCAGAAACGCAGACGGATCACGGGCAACAAGAGGGCTCATAGCGCCCAGGAACACGCGAGGGGACACACGCCCCCCGTGCTGAGTCGCCAGCGTGGTGAGGCTGTGCCTAATCTCCGCTTCCATAGCATGCAGCAGCGTGAACGGGTCCTCTAGCACATGCCGCACCACTGCCGACACAAGACTCTCAAACCCTGGGAAGATCGAGGAGAAGGGGAGGGCGAGAAGTGCCGCCACCCCACCCTGATCCAAAAAGAGAAGGGCGACGGGGTGTGAGCGGGAGAGGCGCGAGGCGAGGTGGAGGAGAGCCTGGCAGAGAGACGGTGGGGGGTGGCGGCGGAGGAGAGGGCAGATGAGCGCCATCGCTTGGGCCTTCTCATGGTCTGATAGGTACCCTGTTGACAGCCCCATGATCTCTGTGAACCGGTTCTCCTCCTTGCCTTCTCGCTTGTCTGTCTCTGCTGGGTCCTTGCCCTTGCTGGCTGCTGGGGCGGCACTGGCAGATAAACCCGCCCCAGATGGAGCCTGTGATGCCCCGGCAGTAGCAGTAGTACCTGTACCAGCTGGCTCGGAAGGTGCTGCAGCGGGTGCACCTGGATCCGCAGCTGCCGCTCCTGCCCCACCTGCCCCACCTGCAACACCTGCCAGTATAGACGCAAAGGAGATAGGTGCATCTGCTGCTGCCGCTCCCCATGTGCTTGCTGTCGTCCCTGCTGCCCCTGCTGCTCCCGCTGCCCCTGCTGTGCCCGCTTCCCCTCGCACCCCTGTGCCAGGCACCTTCCACTGCACAAGGGAGTCCAGCACGAGGAACAGAGATGGCACCCACTTGGGCACCTCCCCAAGCCCCTCACGCCCCTCTCCTCCTTGCCCTCCTTTCCCCCCTGTCCCCCCTGCCACCCGATCAGCACCCCCTTTACCCTCAACCCTCTGACCCGTCATCCCCCCACTGCCTTGCTGCTGCGACCGGCTCTTGCTGGGAGGTGAGGCGAGTGCAGCAAGTGGCAGAGCCGGGGGGTGGTAGTCGGGGCACACAGAAGAGACGTATGTGGAGAGCATGTGGAGAGCAACAGCAGCGAGGCCCTCCTTGGCTGCTATGTCCGAGCAGGGTAGGTCTTCAGAGAGCAACACAGCCAGGCAGTGCGCCAAGGCAGATTGTAAGGCCTGCAGCAAAGACTGTTCACCATCAGCCTTCCCCTCCTCCTCCGCTTTCCCCTGCGCTCTGCGCTCTTTTCCCTCGTTGCCGCTTCGCTTCTCGTTCTCTACGTCGCTAGGAGATGCTTTCACCTGCCCGCAGGACTCTTTCAGCTGCCCCACCAGAAACGTCACGACAGCAGCCCTGTCTGTGCCAGCGTTGCGCCTGCAGAGGGCGAACAGGAGGTCGGTCATGGGGAACACAGCGCCCTCCCCTCCGTCCCTCAGCACCTTCACTATCGTTACCAACATCTCCTCCACCCTCACTTCCTTCCGCCCCTCCTTCTCTCCTCCCGTCTCCTCCTCTTCCTTCTCCTTCTCCTTCTCTTTCCCCTTCCCTTTCTCCTCCCCCTCTTTCCCTTCTCCTGCCTTACCTGCTCCCTCCTCCCCACCCTGCTGCCCACCTGCACTGGGACCACCTCCCCCGTCCCCATCATTACCAGAAAGAGACAACGCGAGCGCGCGGGCGAGCTCGTCTTCTTCTGAGGTAGGCTCATCTGGCACGTGGCTAATGAGCCACTCCATAGCGAGATCTAAATTGTTGCCCACCTGCCGCAACGCCTCTTCTGCCCGCTCCCTAGGGAACCCCATTTCCACTATAAGCTCCACCAGTGCTTCGTCTACCGGGATGGGTACAGCACCTTGCGGCATCCGCCCTCCCAACACCGCAGCAGCCAAGGCAGCTGCGGAGGCTGCTGCACCCCCCTGCCCCCCTGCGCCGCTCGCCCCACCTGCCCCTGCCCCTGCTGCTGCCGCTTCGCCTGCTCCTGCACCCGCCCCCGCACCAGTCCCTGCACCCGCAGTAGCAGCAGCAGCAGAACCCCCTGCTGCTGCTGGAGCAGAATCACTCAGACCTTGAAGCACCCGAGTAAGCAGAGTCACAACCGGGGAGATGACAGCAAGACCGGACTGGGAAAAGAGCGGGTGGGACCAGACATCCAGCATGAGAGACAGCACCTGCGACTGCATGGCTCGGAGAAAGTCCTCAGGCTTAGCTGGGGCGGGTTCAACTGAGCGGGAGAGCTGGTGGGTGAGGAAGATGCTGGTGGAGGAGGGGGCGAGGAGGAGGTGGGAGTTGGTGAGGCAGTCCATGAGACGGAAATAGCTCTGCAGAGGAGAGTGCAGCCACGAAGGCAGCGAGAAGGAACCGGATCCCACAAGAGAACCCGTGCCCTTGTTGGCCCCATCCTTAGAGCCGTCACCTGTGCTCATTTTCTCCCCTGATACTGCTGCTGCTGCTGCTGCATCGGTTGACCCATCCGTTTCCATCTGAGCCGCTGAACCTCCTGCGACCTCTACTCCCACACCACCCGCTTCCTTTCTTGCCTTCTCCTCATTCGCGGTCTTCTCAGCCTTCTCCTCGCGCTCCTTCACCTGCCGCTCCTGCTCGGCCCACATGACTCGCACCACCCACTGCAGCGACGCAAACAGCTGCTTCACAGCCCCGTGCGCGTGGAAGAACCTCAGCAGCATGCTGTTGCACGTGTGCCGCCGCGGATCCACCACCAGCGCAAACATATCATCCACGATCTTCCCCAGATACACACACCGCACTGCCGGGCAATCCAGTATCTCCTCACTCGAGCACGCCTCCACACTGCTGCTCCTCCCTGGGTCGCACCCGGCAAACCCTAACCCTAGATTCTCCTGGAAGGTCTGCGCGAGGGCCGCTGAGGCCACCTTGGCATGGCCTGTCAGCACCACGGCATCGTCCCGCCTTCTAGAAGGAACTATCGCCTTCCCCACGGCTACATCGAACAGACGCACGGCCACTACTAGCCGCCCCAGCACCTCCTTTTGTACGGCACCATCTGGCTTCTTCCTCCCCGCAGTATCTGTGGTGCCAGCAACGGCTGAACCAGCGGCAGCGGCAGCGGCAGAAGCATCAGCCGCGCCGCTTACCCCTGCCTCAGGACCGTTATCAGGCCCTGTACCGTCAGGCACAACGCGAGAGGCACGTGAGAGGTGCCTGCTGCTGCCGCTGCGGTGCGGAAACCCTAATTCTCCGCGGGGCCAGAGGGAGCCAGGGCCGTTCCGCATGGGTCTGCCAGCGCCCACGTCACTGTCCATCATAAGCAGATCCAGATCGTCTGCTGCCTCCCCTGGGAATACCTGCATCGCCCCTGCTTCTCCCCCTGCTCCTCCTGCTCCTGCTCGTTCGCTCGCTGCTGCTGCTGTGCCTGTTTCAGCTGCCTCTGGAGGTCCTGCGGATGGCGCAGCAGCAGATGATGCAGCTCCGGTGGCAGCAGGTGTAGCTGCAGCTGCTGGCGCAGCTCCCCCCACATATCCCCCACCCTGCCCGGCTTCTCCCCCTGTTCCTGACCCTCCACCAGCCGTTCCGCCCTCACCTGCTCCCCCTTCTCCCCCGGCTCCTCCTCCCCCTGCACTCCCTCCCGCCTCTGCAGCAACATCAGCAGCAGAAGAAGCAACAGGGGAAGGCGGCGGCACTCCCTTGTGCTCCAAAACGGCAAGCTGCCAGAGGGCCTCCCTGTGAAGCACAGCCACGTCTCGAAACACCTCTCCACTGGACGACGCGAGGTCGGGGACAGAGAGAGCAGTGGCGCGCACTAGCACGGCGGAGAGGGAGAGCAGGCTCTCTGCCACTCCCAGGGCGCGCAGGAGCGACTCCCGTGACTCCACGTCCAAGTCAGACAACTGGCGCCGCCCGATTGTTACTGCAGATGAGCCTGCACCTGAAGCTCCTGCAGCAGCAGCACTTGGAGCGGCAGAAGCAGGGCCTGCTGAAGCGGCTGTGGCAGCAGCACCCGCAGCAGCATCCGCAGCGGCAGCATCAGAAGCAGTAGGCGCGGCAGCAGGGGAGAAAGACGAGAGGGACGTGGTGACAAACGCAACCGCGCACTTGACATGCTTCTTCAGCGCCGAAGCCACCCCACGGGACACAGCCGAGGCATGGCTGGGCCCGAACGCCCGCATGGTCATGGAGATCCCCTGGGCGGCAGGGGACGTGCCGAAGAGCAGTGGCAGGCGCGGGAGAGTGTAGAGCGCTAGCAGTGCGTCCAGCCCGCGGAGGTCGAGGAAGACGCGGCTGCTGGCCTCGTTGGAGAGAACGGCTTCCAGCAGGCGAGCCATGTTGCTGATGCAGTCCGGGAGGAATGCCTCTAGCTCTGCTGGGGTGAGGCTCTCCTTGCTGCTGCTTGTGGTGATGGCAGTGGTGGTGGCAATGCCGGTAGCAGCAACAGCCCCAGTTCCTGCTGCCTCTGCTCCTGTTCCTGTTCCTGCTGCCTCTGCCCCTGCTGCTTCTGTTGTTCCTGCCCCTGCCGGTTCCGCCTCGGCCATAACTGCTTCTGAACCAGGAGCTGCCAATTCAGCTCCCTCTGTCACAGCCGCCGGCTCTTCATAAGCAACGCCAGAAGCTGTCACCTCCTCTGCTGGCCCTGGAGGTGCATTCTGCTCCCTCTCTGTCTCTTCCCCTGCCTGTTCCCCTGCGGCTGCTGCAGCAACTGGCGCTGCTGCTGCTACCTCTGTCCCCTGGTTGCCCCCATCCGTATCCATCGGCACCGGCACATCAACCTCCCCACCCTGTCTGCTACCCTGCCCTTGTGTGCCTTCCCCTGATGCCCCTCCCCCTGTTCCTTGCCCCACTCCTGCTGGCCCCTCCTCCCCACCCCCGCCACTCCCCACCGGCCTCCCACTATCCGCATCATCCTCCTTCGCCCGCACCCCCTCCTCCCCTCCCCCATCCCCCCCTCCCCGCATCTCCCCCTCCCACGAATCCCCTCCCTCGCCCCCTCCCCTCCCCGCCCTCCTCCCCTTCCGCTCCTCCAGCCCCCCCATGCGCGCAATCTCCCTGAGCGCGCCCACAACTGCGCCCATGAGGGGCTGGCGAAGGCTCACCTGGTGGCGCATGAGCTCGTCCAGCCCGGACCCCAGCACGGACGCGGTGTCCCCCGCCAGGGGGCGCGCGTACTGGCGCGAGGTGAAGAGCGCGGGCAGGCAGGCAAGCACGTGGGAGTCTGTGACGAGCTGTAGTCCGCGCTGGTTGAGGCAGAAAGCGAGGAGAGCGTTGGGGATGGCGCAGATGGCTTCTGACAACGGTAGCACGCCTGGGAAGGGGGAAAGGAGGGGAGGGAGGGATTTAAGGGGGATAAGAGAAGTGGGGGTCGAAACGAAAACAGAAGGCGAGGAGAGCGTTGGGGATGGAACAGATGGCTTTTGACGACGGCAGCACACCTGCAGGAAGGGAGAAAGGGGGAGGGAGGGAGGGAGGGGAGGGGGGAGTGCGGGGGAACCAGAAGAGGAACGCATTAGAGGCGGCTCAAAAAAAGATGACGAGCAGTGTGTTGGGGATGGCATCAGACTATGGCGTAAAGCACAAGCACAAGCAAAAGCACAAACACCAACACAACAAGCTGGACACACCCACACACAGCGTGCTCACCAGCCTTGACAGCGTCCACAAACGTCTTGGGCAGCCCAGCGGCGTCCAGCACAGCAAAGCTGGTGGGTTCGTGGTGGATCTGCTCGCTCATCACCGACGCCGCCAGCGCAAACACGCCCCCCCCAAACTCCTTCGCGTGCCGAAACACGGCCGCCAGGCAGTCCGGCAGCCGTCCCATGCCCCCTTGCTCGGGGGAGGCTGATGCGAGCCTGACAGTGCTGCCTGGTGCGAAGCTGACCAGGGAGATGACGCGCAGCAGGGCTTTAATCAGGCTGCGCTGCCGGTAGGTCAGCACTGCTGGCGCTGTAGCGGATCCGCCAGCAGCAGCAGATGATGCCGTACCAGCGCCGCCGCTCGACCCTATGCCTGCTCCCCCTCCTGCACCCTCCTCTTCCACCATCGGAGCCTTGCCCTTGCGATCCTCATCCATACCAGTGGCTCGTGCACCAGCCGAGCCACTGCCACTCCCCCCACCAGCAGTCCCCTCACCAGCACCCTCAGCTGCACCACCAGCCAGGGTTTTGCTAGACCCCAAACCCTGAACAGGCAGGAGAGTGGGCTCAACTCGAGCGACCTCGAGCCTTAGTCTGTCCACGCACATGTCTAGGCCGTTCAATTCCCTAAAGAGTGCTGCTGCAGGGTTGGAGAAATCCATGAAGGCCTCTAGGATCTGCACTGACCATGTCACCAGACTCATGTGCTCAGGCTTGGTGTCCCGAACCAGCGGCAGCAGGGTCGGTACCAAGCCTGCCTCCCGAAGCGCAGTGCACCCGGAAGAGGAGGACACCAGCGCAGCAATGAGGACCAATAGCGCGTCAACGAATTTCGGCGAACAACCTCCTGGTTTCCCAAGCTGAGCCACAGTCCTCTGCATCAGGCTCGGCAAGGTGGCTCGGTGGCCGCCGGTGCTAATAGCACTGAGGACCGTGGACTGGCGCGGCCGGTCCTGCGCCATGGCAGCCAGGGCCAGCAGCGCGTACATCCGAACCTCCTCAGGCACCAGGCTCTCCGCATTGAGCAGCGAAATCAGCTCCGGGACGAACTCAGGCTCGTTCGCAAAGAAGGCTGTGAGCTCGTCTGGGTCTGGTGTGGCGAGCAGCAGTACTCGGAAGGCCAGCAGGCGCACGCAGAGGAAGCGGCGGCGCAAGGCGAGGAGAGGGAAGGAGTAGGCGCAGCGGAGGCGGGTGAGGAGGGAGAAACGGAGGGTGGAGGGCACGGAGTATTGGTCTACTAGGCGCTGGAGGAAGTCGAGCTCGGAGATTCCCTGCTGCTGCACGTGCTCTTGCACCCTGGGCATGTGGATGACCCTCAGCCCAGGTGATAGATCAGTGGAAGCAGCAGCAGGTGCGGCAGGAGAGGGAGAAGCAGAGGCAGCACCACCTGCTGCAGGAGCAGCACTACCCGATACCCCACCAGCATTGCCATCTTGAACCTCTAATCCCTCTCCACCGCTCCCTCCCAGACCCTGACCCTGACCCGCCAGTCCCACTCCACCAGCCCCTTCCGCATAAAACTCGAAGTGCAGCGTCCCTCCCAATGCGAGAGCAGACGCGTCCAGCCCCCCCTGGAGCGCGCAGGGCAGCATGCCGAGGCCCTCCTCCTTGCCGCCCCACGCCTGCGCGAGGGCGAAGAGGCGCGCTGTGATGGCGGGGTCCGCATGCCAGCGAGTGCTGCGGCCTGGCTGGAAGGGCTTCTTGCCGTACACTGAGAGCAGCTCAAGACTCACTGATAGCACGTCCAGGTCCGTGCTCGCTAGCAGCGTGCACACGTGCTGTGAGGGGGGAGAGGAGGAGAGGGGGGGAAGGGGGGACGGGGAAGGGGAGGGTGAATAAGTGCTTCTTGCCGCACACGGAGAGGGGTTCGAGGGAGGCTGACAACACTTCCTTGCGAGCAGCGTGAAGACGTGCTCCGGCGGAGAGAGTGGTTAAGGTCGCGCAAGACGGAGGAAGGGGAGGGATGATTGGCGGGTGGAGGTAAAAGACGGCACATCTCAACATTTCAGATGGCCACGTTTGGGGACGGTGTTACAAGAACAGATGGAGTGCATACCTCAACGGACGCGTAGAGGTGCTTGTTGACGGAGTTCTCGAGAATAATGCGCGACACACGCAGCACCTGCAGCACCGCATCCCGAGGAAACGGCGGATCCACGCCCGCGAAACGGCCCTCTAACTGCAAATCCTTGCGCGATTTCACGGAAGTTTCGAGGAAGGCGTCGAAGTGGTTTAAGAGGTCTACCCAGTGCAGCACGTCGCCCTGCCAGACAGACACGCCAGAGTCATACGGCGAAATAATATCGATGAGTGAAGAGGAAAGCGGAACAGACGCACAACGGAAAGCGGAAAGAGGAAGGAACTGGCGCGTGACGAGAAAGCAAGCATGGAAACATTCGAGCAGTAAAGCATAACGAGTGAAGGATGACGGAAAGGTGAACAACCAACGGAAAACGTGAAGTATTCGCAGAATGAAAACCCAAGCCCCGACGAATCTTATGTACGAGCGCGTATTGGCGCACGCATGGAACCTTCGCTTTACCGCGGTTGTCGCCTCCACTGAACGCAAGAATTTACAAAGAAGCGCGAGGGCCTACCTTGTCATAAGTCCACTTGAACTCTGAAAGATGCTTCGCTATGTCGTGTAACGGAACGGAGATAACGGAATCAATAACTTCCTTCACCCTCGGAGGCTGCAAGCGAAAAAAGCCAGGCACAAGATTAAGGGACTCGTTAGATCCATGCCATGCCATGACAAGTCTAACGAAGTCGTCTCCGTGGATCTGAATTCAGGAGCAGTTAAATTTGAAATACGGCGATATTTAGAGACTGAATCCGTCAGGAGAATCTAAAACATCGAGGCCGGCAGGAAAAGCAGCCAGAAACAGGACAGCGCTTACAGGATCCGATCCCTTTTTCTTCTTGACCTTCATCTTCCCACAACAAAGACACGCGAAAACCTCCTACAAGCAAGCGCTCCACCAGAGAATTCGAACCACCACTAGAGATTCAATAACCAGACAAGACGAGGGTCGCGTCCTGCGGTGGTTTCCGCGTCCAGGCAAAGTGCAAGCTCTCTCTAAAGACCAAGGGATGACTCTATTGCACCCTAGTCTCTCGCCTTGAAATCCTATTGACGCCTTCAAATGGTTGCAGAAACATGGCGGTGGTCCGAACTGAAGATGGTAGTCCCTGAACCTTCGAGGGTGCTAGTTCCCCTGGCTCTGATTGGTCAAGTCTCCAGTGGAACAAGGTTGCGACATCGCTAGCGTTTCGTTACGTGTGTTACCATGCCGACAGGCGTATCACAATTTTCGAAAGGCTACACAATCAACATATCAAGGACAATTATACTGATGATTGTGTATACACAAAAGGGGTCATTCATAGACAATGATCCTTACATATACATCCATCCACATCTACTCCTTTTTAGTATGCTTGTGCTTGTGCAGTGACCGTAATCCATGAGCGATTCCCGCTCCTACTGGGAGTGATGTGAGCCTAACGAAGGGGCTTGCAAGACTCTCCGCGACCCAAGTAACAACCGACTTGGATGGGAAAATCCCTCGAGAGAGCAGAGCAAGTGAGAAAGGAAGGAAGCCGGATGACGTTGTGACGAGGAATTCTCCAGATCGAACAGCTGCCACTGTTCTCTCTGCCACCATGTCAGGGTTCTCTATCTTGTTGCGGTCGTACATCGATGCCACCTCCATCAATTTGGTAAGGTACTGACCAGACGCTTCAGCTGGAAGAAACAGTGTCGACAGAAGCAAACGTCAGGAGACATGCGTATCTATAAACCCCTTATAAAAGTTGAAGTGGGATGTATAGTGCTTACCGTCATCAAGAAGATGGGTGTCCGTGAAGCCTGGGCAGACAACGGAAACCGATATGTCATATGGGAGCAGCTCAAGACGAAGACCTTCTGCAAAGCCTCGGACCCCATACTTTGTAGCAGTGTAAACTGCTGCACCATACCAAAAGCTCTGTTACAAAGATAAAACAAAAAGATTCAGTGTCATGCTATGAGTAAACATGATCTTGAGTCACAGCAGCACATTGTACCCACCAGAGCAGAGAGTGAGCACATGAAGACAATTGCACCTGGCTCCGCTCCTTGAGAAACCCTCTCCTTCAAAAGAGGCACTGCAGCTTGCACAGGGTAGATGCTTCCCAGCAGGTTCGTGTTGACCTGCTCCTGGGCCTGCAGTGCGGAAATGTCCTCCACATGGCCTGTGCGCACCACTCCAGCGTTGCACAGCAGCACATCTATGGGGCACGCAGCAGCTGCTGCGTCTATGGCTGCCTGCACCGCCTTGGCATCAGAGACATCCACTGCCTGCACAAAAATTCAGACAAACCACAATTTCGTTTTCATGAAAACACTTTATGAAGTATGGGTGCTCACAAGGTGCTACAGAGAAAACATTTCAAGCTCACCTGAGTGAAGATTCTGGGAGTAGGAAAGAAGCCGTTGGTTCCGTTATGAGCAGACTCCCTCGTATACCGCTGCAGCTCCCGCGCTGCCTCTTCCAGCTTGGCTGCGTTCCGAGCCATCAGGGTAACCGAGGCTCCCTGGAGAATCCATAAAAAAACGTCAGGTTATTTCCAATTAAGTGCCAAATGCCCGTGGAAACAATAACCTGCGATCCAATCCTCTATCAGATGTTACCTCTCTCAGGAAACGCTTGGCACAGGCGAAGCCAATGCCAGTGGAGCCACCCGTGATGACCACATGCTTGCCCTTCATCATCTTCATGCTGCTACGGCTGCACGAAGAGAAATGAACAATGGGAGCATGATGAGCGCGAACATCAGGCGCGAGAAGAAAATCCACGTTAAAAGAAAATGAAAGTTCTTGGTTGAATACAAGAAGTGGTGTCTTACCAGAGAAGGTCGCCTGAACGTAACTGGGGGGGTTGATTAACAGCTGCGAGGCGAATGTGACGAGAGGCAGAGGAAAATTCCGAGCGGCTAAACGAGAGGGCTGATTGTCTTTCACTAGCAGCTTTGATATGACCAGCTACCACAGCGCTAGATTTTATTCCGGCACCTGCGGAAACTTTGCAGAGCTGGATGTTCATGGTGGGACGACGAATATAACCCTTCGACGAACAATTATGGGAATTAACGGACTCGCGGTGAATGGCAGCGAAGCACCCATGATTCACCGACAAAACTACGAGAGCACTTCAGAAAAACTTAGTTGAAAACGATGTGACGTCTCTGTTGTCCGCGCAAGAAAGCGACGGCAAGTTGAGTCCTGGCGACTCGGAAAAAAAGCAGATTCTGCAGCACGTCAACGTCAAAACCGATATGAATGTGCTAGTCATGGTGGAGGTGCGTGTGAGGTAGTGTGCTAGCCATGGCGAATGTCAATGATGTGGAATGACTACTTGTCTCGGACCAAACTCTGTCAGCTGTCACAGAATCTTCGTTACAGTACTAGCTGTGGGAAGGTAAGAGATTGACGATTCCGCATCCATAATGAGTAGGATAAGCATATGAACACCAGAGATTTTGCTTGTATTTGAAATGTGAATGGTGCTATAATTTGCTTGTTAAAATAATACATTGAAATAATTGGAAAATAAATCAATAAACATAAATGGCATGTATTTATACGCATAATTGAGACAGCATGTTTGCCCCCTCCTGCATTTTCTCATTCCACAAACTTGGCTCCTCATAGAAATAGATATTGTAACAAATCATGCCCAGCAGTCAGCCTTTTATGCGAACGCTTGGCAGGATACCGTGTACATCCTCAGCAGGTCATCAGCCAATAGTGGTGGCGAGGCAATGGCTTCAGTCCAGGAAGCTATCTCCTCAGCTCCCAACCTTGATCGTGTCCCCTGTCTCCCCCACCATCAGCATTCAACTGCTGACATCTGATGTTCAACGAGTTCACTTGTAACTACGACTTCAGTATTTTGTGGTTGTGCGATTCGCGAACTTGAGTCCTAGGATTGGCAACTAACATAGAAAACAAATTTTACAAACCACAGAACGTGAATACTGAAAGTAATGAAATCGAGACTTGTGAGTGCAGGCAGGCTGGTGGCCAAAGTGTCACTCACTCTAGCACGTAATGGCAAAGCCGCAAGAGACTTATTTTCCCAGCAGATGGAATTCAGAGGTTTTTCAGAGTCCAGCGAAAGACTACAGCCGCAAGTCGTGCTGCATACTATATCTGATGACGGGCTGTGGTTCAAGTTAGCTCCTGAAGAAGGTTGTGAGGCCAGTTGGCATGAGCTGGATCTAATTCACAGCTCATGTGTGACAGATTCCAAGGTAATGCTCCCGGTAACACTTATGTTATCTTACGACACCGTGTACACAGTGGATTAAAAACTAGTAACTTGTGTTTCTGATCTCGCAGACTGCCGTCGTGTCGATCGGAGGCGGATTCGAGGTGCACTTGGTTGCTATGTTAGGCAATCGTCAGGAGCATCGCAAGAACCACAGACCATGTTTCTGGGGATTCGTCGTGAAGGAAGGCCAGTTCTCGGCCTGCTTGAAGATGCTGAACCTTCGCTGCCTTGCTGTGGTCTTCGACCTAGATGAAACTCTCTTTGTCGCCAATACAATGAAGTCATTTGAAGACAAGATCGGTGTGCTGAGGCAACGGCTAGCTGCGAACAGTGATCCGCAACTGGCTAAGCTTTTGGCGGCTGAGCTGGGTCGCTACGAGGAGGACAGGCAGATCCTCCTTCAATACTACGATACTAACGCTGTGATGCTTGACGGGAAGTGCTACGTGGCTGAGCCTGAAGCTGTGACACCTGTGGAGGGGCAATCTCTTCCTGCCTCTCGGCCTGTCCTCAGGCTCCCACACCAAAACATTGTTCTAACCCGAATCTTTCCAGAGGTGAAATTGTATTCTTTTTCACACACTTGATGCTTTGGACTCTGTTGTACTCTGAGCGGAAGCCTGATTTAGTATGGTGGTGACTATGCAGAATCGGGACACTAGTGTGCTTGTCAGAATGCGGCCATCCTGGGAAGATTTGCGGAGTTATTTTTCCACCAAGGGACGGAAGCGGTTTGAGGCCTTCGTGTGCACAATGGCAGAGAAGCAGTATGCTTTGGAAATGTGGAGGCTGCTTGATCCTGAAGGGAAACTTATTCAACCGAAGGAGCTGTCAGCCCGTATCATCTCAGTCAAAGCTGGTAGGTTCTTCTTCACTGATTGGTTTTCCTTCATATTCAATGAAGTCTCATTTGTGCTATCATCTTCAACGTTCCGTTGATTGATGGACTCTAATTGCAGGGACATTCAAATCATTACAAAAGGTGTTCCACAGGAACGACTGTGATCCAAGAATGGCTGTCATTATTGATGACAGAATGAATGTCTGGGAGGAAAGGGACCAGCCACGTGTCCACCTTGTTCAACCTTTTGCTCCGTATGCAGCACCCCTGGCCGAGGTCTGTGAATCCGCTGGACACTATTGGTTTAGCCATATTATTCAAACCCGGCGCCTTATCATCCTCCTCACTTTATTTTAATTGCTGGCAGGTCAATTTGGCTGTTCCTGTCTTGGTCCATGCAAGGAACGTGATTTGCTATGTTCGAACTGACTTTTACAGGTAAGCATACTGACGGTTTCATGCTCCATCTTACTGTCCATCTCATTTCAATTTGTTCAACAAGGTTCAGCACTTGCTGTCTCCGTAACATATGAGCAAGGGTTGTGCAGGGCAATCGATGACTATTTGAGCCAAGGATTGGCAAACATGTCCCACGATGCTGAGTTGCATCAGCTCCCACCAGTTCCTGACACGGCAGTATTTGTGAAAGGTGCCCCAGTGGACAATGTATGTGAGTTCTATCCTTCAAGCTGTCTGGTTCCGATGCCACTTCTCAGGTCTGACATGGGGATCCGCTTGGCAGGGGGCAATAGAGTCCAAGGAGCAACAACAGTGGGTTTTCCAGTATCCTGGAGAGAAGCCACTCGCTCAACCAGTTGCAGAACTGGATGTACCTGACAGAGGTGCTCCTCGTTTTGGGGGTCCTCATCAAGAGAGAGTGCCAGAAAGTTTGGTCCCATCAGCAGCGGCTCAGGTATCCAGCCATTTGTTGCAAATATAAAAAAACGTAGCTTGCAATTTTTTGTTCACTTTCACAGAGTCTAACTTCTGCTATGTGCGTTGTCTTTCAGCCACCAGGGCCTTATGATGATTCAGAGGACTTGCCTTTGTGGCAACCAGAAGCCGTTGCACCAACTGAGCCGCGAAATGCACAGTCCAACCAGTTACCGGCTGCAGATGTCTTGTCAGGTACTGCAAGAAATGGTAATGCAGGTGAAGTTCCAGCGAAACCTCAATCCGAGGAGGTGGAGGAAGGGGAGCTTTCAGACAGAGAAGATTTGCCTTCTGAAACAAAGGAGGAAGCGTCAGAAACACTTTCAGAGTTGGAGCGGCGTCGACGGCTTCTTATTTTGCAGCACGGAATGGATCCCGTGCTGGCTCCTCCAAGCATATCACTTCCTCCAGGCTTCACGTTGCCTGGATCGTCAGCCTCTCCAGTTATTCTACCACGGCCCCCACCGCAAATGCCTCCTCTCTGTGACTTGTCCAGTGGTCCGTCTATTGTACCTCCACAAGCTTCTGTGCCGCCTACAGTCGCTGCACCATCTCCTAGACCATTTCTGATGTGGGAGGTCAAACGTTTAGTTGAACCATCCAGTCTCGTGAAGGCTGTTTCTGGGGAGAGCGTCAGAATACAAGATGAGAGCCCTGCTATCAGCCCTCCTGGGTTTGGCCCTCCAGGATTCACCACTCTCGGTTCCCGTAAGTACCTTTTTGAGTCTGTTGCAACTCCAGTGTTCTTTGTCTCACATCTGAGGATTCTTATTACGGCAGGTGCACAGACTCGTGATCCACCGCTGATCAGCTCACCATCTAAAAAGGCCGTGCTGGCGTCCATGAAACGGGTGAGCAGCTATATTGATAGAATTCGACAAGCTCCAATCAGCAACTTCAGCACTACCCTCGATGCAGCAGGAGTTAAGGCATTTGCAAACCTGTCTATACATTGTCAGGGGGCTAACTGCACTGTTCTTGATTTGCTGCAGATCGACTCTGAATTGGAGGCAAGCTCAAGGGAGACTATTGCTTTGCAAGTCTCCAATGACATGAACAGGTACGGCCAGCTAATTAAAGACTTTTACCTGATGCAAGCTATATCCGTGTCTTTACTACTGATGATGTGTGGATTGTGCAGTATGCAAGGCGCAGCTAAACGGAGGAGACTGATTGGTCCGTCATAGTGTGCACCCCTGATTTGTACAGGCCACAGCTATTCTGTATGTTGCATTCATTACACAATCTTCATTGTACAAGGTCACAAAAGCAGGGATGGTTTCCAACCTCTTCCAGAATTGAGCTCAAGCATCAATGCCGAGAAAGAGCCCTACTCAGCACCGTCTGCTGCAATGCAGCGGTCATTGGCGCCTACATCTCCAGATTTGCGCAGGCCACAGCTATTCCTCATGACATCATTACACAATCTTCATTGTACAAGGTCACAAGAGCAGGAATAACTTCCAACATCTTCCACAATTGAGCTCAAGTATGATTGCCAAGAAAGAGCCCTGCTCAGCACCTTCTGCTGCAATGCAGGGATCATTAGCGTCTACGTCTCACGGACTTGGAAAGCTCCTCTCGATAATCATTCAGGTTTTGCTTGATCCAGAGCCTCCGCTCCACAAGCCTTTCTTGGGCAGACTCCCCTGCAAGGCATTGTACAACATGGGTGTAAAACACTCATCCAGAAAATAAGAGATGAAAAAAGCAAAGAAAGATCCAAGAAAGCAGGTGCCATCGGACTCCCATGGCTCCAACTGGCCTTACCCATGGAGCTCCAGTGAGCTGCAGGAATATGCAGGGTGGTGCGCGTGAGGTAGCAAGCATCGTTCCATAACAGAGGCGCACGGCGCATGGTGTAGCGATGGAACCACTGCACCTGCCACCATATCAACTGCACATCCAATGCAATGCATGGACTTGAGAATGTCATATGAAAGTTGCAGTCAACAGAACAAGCACAAAACGAAGGGACAGCAAACAACAACACATCGAAGGCAATGCTTTACCTTGGCAGCTACGTAAGGGAAGATGACAACTTGAACACCAAAGAGCCGCCACGGACACGGCTTGTCAGCTCCATGCACCTGCCATGGACGGAATCACAAAGAATATGAAAATAATATGGCACCAAGCATATACAATGCATGATGTGACTGCAAACCGTACCTGAAGCTCGAGTTCAGCCACTTCATTTTCTGGTGCAGCAGCAGCTGCTCCAGCTTGTTGGGCGTCAGCTGCTCTGCTAGCATCCACAGATTCGGCCCAGGCAAGGGTGTGCAGGTGGTTAGGCAGGAGCACCCATCAGAACACAAGCCCAAACACATTGTGTGCAACAAATTCTCTAAGGCGTCATTTCAATCGAGCAAGAAAACCATGTCTTGAAGTGCCAAAATGTGGTGTGTGCCTACTGTTTTCCACTGCCTACCTTCCTCCGCGCCGGCCCCCTCCACGCTTCCCTCTGCCTCCACCAGTGGTGATGGCGGCAGCAGCAGCAACCGCAGCCCTTTCCAGCTCCAGCTGCTTGAGGCGATTGCGGTAGGCTGGGGTCTGCTTCGCGTGCTCTATGGCCTGTGAGGGATGGAGAGGAAGTGACAGGACAGCATGGTGTGTGAAGGATTCGCAAGAGAGGCTGTTGCTTGTTGCTTGACAAGTGTCTGTAACCCATGGAATCAAAAGCATATTGATTTGCCTGCTGATCTAAGCGGCTGAATTTTGGGGACGCCTTAGAACCTCACCTATTGGTACTCAATGACTCTGGGTGGGGCTCACCTGGTTGTATCGAATGTGGTCGTTGAGGTACTGGAAGGATGAGAGCAGCAACAGCGCTGCAAGCAGGATGAGTCGAATGTCCTGTGATCAACCGGTGGAACACAAAGTGATCATGATGATTGGGAAGATGATTGGAAGAAAAGAAAGAAGCACAATTTGCAAGTGAAAAGCAATGGCAGCAGCATACAGGCAGCACATCACATCGCAACGGTACAATGCATGAGGGCGACAGAAGGCAGTGGCAAATCTTATCACGCAAACAGAACATTGAACACAGGATAGCTGCCATGACGAGAGGGCCAACTAGCTCTGTCAAGATCAGGAGCAACAGAAGCCTCACCGTTTTAGGAGCATAATAAGTTTGGTAGTAGCGAGCAGTGTTGTAGAAGAACTGAACAGGCAAGGTACAGGTGGAAGGAGGGAGGGAGGGATGGGGGAGGAGGAGGGGGGGAAGAAGCGCGAAATTGGATTTGACGGGTTGCTTGCACTGATGTGCAGGCCGTCTTCATGCTACCAACGAGGTGGTGCAAACCATGAAGGTGCAACATGCATACATGTCAACTGCTATCCCTGCTTGCAAAAAAACATGGAATCTACTCAAGGCAAATGGCATGCAATGCAATGCCATGATTTGCCATGCTGTGCCATGCCATGACGTGCCGTGCCATGCCGTGACATGCGAAGCCATGCCATGCCATGCCACATCAGGCCTTGCAACGCACCTGCTCTGGATGAGCGATGGCATAGTCGTATTGCTCCCTCTTCTCCGCATCATACAAAATCTGGACGGACGGATAATCGAGCAGGAGAGAAAGAGAAAAGAGGCAGTAGAAGGTTGACTTATGCTGGTTCAGCATGGTTTGTGGGCGTGTGGATGAGTGCCCTATGATGTCAGGGGTCTGAATGCGTGGTGCTGCAGGCAAGTATGAGTAGACAGCGGCAAACGATAAATGAATAACCTTGTTCTTGAGCCAAAGCAGTGTCATACACATTTCTCAGCCTCACCTCACGAAAAAATACACTACTACGTATGCCATTCCTCAGCAATGTTTTTACAGAAAAGCCGTACCTCATATGCGTTGGCGATCTTGGAAAATACGGCTTGCGCGTCTGGCTCTGGATTCTTGTCTGGATGGCTGCCATGGGAGGCAGGGAGCAGGAACGGCCATGGAGGGTGCAGAGTGGTGAGGAGCGGTGACAGGTGACCAGGGGTGGTGAAGTATGGTGAGAAATGGGGAGGAATGGTGATGGGTGACTAGGGGTAGAGGGACGTTGGTATTCTGAAGGAAACATAAGTTGATAAGTTCATAAAAGTGGGGCTCACTCACTACTTGAGGGAGAGCTTGTAGTATGCCTTCTTGATCTCCTGCTGGGTCTCTTTGAGACGTCTCAAAACATTACTTTTATCACGTGGGGCTCACTCACTATTTGAGGGAGAGCTTGTAGTAGGCCTTCTTGATCTCCTGCTGGGTCGCTGTCTGCTTGACCCTGATAGAGTTACATGGTTGGTTACACGGCAGAGCAGAGATAGGGAATGGGATTGGCAAATTCAGGAAACGACGATGCGAGGAAGCGAATTGAGACTTGGCCATTGCAATGACTGGGATAACGCGTGCTGAAACGGAAGGGCGGCAGCGACGGAAATGCTCCTGTTTGTTACAGAATTCAGATTGTACTCAGAAGAACATTGGTGCGATGGCTTGAATAGGCGAGGGAGATTAATAAGCATTCGTGCTTCAAATGACAGGAAAGACGCGATGGACTGGTGATGGGAGCATGGATCTAATCTGGTCACCAGAACACGTGGAGTGGAGGTATGCCACCAATGAATGGATATTGAACGGCTTCGAATGCGAAGAGAACGACACCAGGCAGATGACTTGACCTAGTCAGGTGTGACTATACGCAGTAAGGGTGACTGTACGCAGTAAGGGTGACTGTACCCGAGGAGGTCGTAGCAGTCGTCGTCACCACAATACATGGCCCATGCTGACGACACCATACAGGTGGCTTGACCAAGCTTTGACCTAGTTAGGTGTGACTACAAGTAGTAAGGGTGACTGTACCCGAGGAGGTCGTAGCAATCATCGTCGCCACAATACATGGCCCATGCTGACGACACCATACACGCCATCAGCACCACAACGACCAGGATCCGACATGATGACGTCAGAGCCATGCCGACTGCGTGCGGGGAAGGGAATGGCAGCGGGAGGGAAGGGAATGGCAGCGGGGGGGAAGGGAATGGCAGCGGGAGGGAAGGGAATGGCAGCGGGAGGGATATGGATGCAAGCCTGAGGGGAATGGGAATGGAAGCGGGAAGGGGAGGGAATGGCAGCGCGGGGAAAGGGAAATGGAGGCGTGAGGGAGGGGAATGGAAGCGGGGAGGAAGGGAAATGAGGCAGGAGGGGAAGGGGATGGAAGCGGGAGGGGAATGAAATGGAACCGTGAGGGGAAGGGCATAATTGGCGGGAGGGGAAGGAAATGGCAGTGTGGTACGGGACTGGCAGCGTTAAGGGAGGGGAATGGAAGCCGGATGGGAGGGGAATGGAAGCCGGAAGGGAGGGGAATGGAAGCGTGAGGGTTAGGGAAAGGAAGCCAGAGGGAAAGGGAATGGACGCATGTGGGGAAGGGAATGGCTGTGTGCGGAGAAGGGAATGGCTGTGTGCGGAGAAGGGAATGGCTGTGTGCGGAGAAGGGAATGGCTGTGTGCGGAGAAGGGAATGGCTGTGTGCGGAGAAGGGAATGGCTGTGTGCGGAGAAGGGAATGGCTGTGTGCGGAGAAGGGAATGGCTGTGTGCGGAGAAGGGAATGGCTGTGTGCGGAGAAGGGAATGGCTGTGTGCGGAGAAGGGAATGGCTGTGTGCGGAGAAGGGAATGGCTGTGTGCGGAGAAGGGAATGGCTGTGTGCGGAGAAGGGAATGGCTGTGTGCGGAGAAGGGAATGGCTGTGTGCGGAGAAGGGAATGGCTGTGTGCGGAGAAGGGAATGGCTGTGTGCGGAGAAGGGAATGGCTGTGTGCGGAGAAGGGAATGGCTGTGTGCGGAGAAGGGAATGGCTGTGTGCGGAGAAGGGAATGGCTGTGTGCGGAGAAGGGAATGGCTGTGTGCGGAGAAGGGAATGGCTGTGTGCGGAGAAGGGAATGGCTGTGTGTGGAGAAGGGAATGGCTGTGTGCGGAGAAGGGAATGGCTGTGTGCGGAGAAGGGAATGGCTGTGTGCGGAGAAGGGAATGGCTGTGTGCGGAGAAGGGAATGGCTGTGTGCGGAGAAGGGAATGGCTGTGTGCGGAGAAGGGAATGGCTGTGTGCGGAGAAGGGAATGGCTGTGTGCGGAGAAGGGAATGGCTGTGTGCGGAGAAGGGAATGGCTGTGTGCGGAGAAGGGAATGGCTGTGTGTGGAGAAGGGAATGGCTGTGTGCGGAGAAGGGAATGGCTGTGTGCGGAGAAGGGAATGGCTGTGTGCGGAGAAGGGAATGGCTGTGTGCGGAGAAGGGAATGGCTGTGTGCGGAGAAGGGAATGGCTGTGTGCGGAGAAGGGAATGGCTGTGTGCGGAGAAGGGAATGGCTGTGTGTGGAGAAGGGAATGGCTGTGTGCGGAGAAGGGAATGGCTGTGTGCGGAGAAGGGAATGGCTGTGTGTGGAGAAGGGAATGGCTGTGTGCGGAGAAGGGAATGGCTGTGTGTGGAGAAGGGAATGGCTGTGTGCGGAGAAGGGAATGGCTGTGTGTGGAGAAGGGAATGGCTGTGTGCGGAGAAGGGAATGGCTGTGTGCGGAGAAGGGAATGGCTGTGTGTGGAGAAGGGAATGGCTGTGTGCGGAGAAGGGAATGGCTGTGTGTGGAGAAGGGAATGGCTGTGTGCGGAGAAGGGAATGGCTGTGTGTGGAGAAGGGAATGGCTGTGTGCGGAGAAGGGAATGGCTGTGTGTGGAGAAGGGAATGGCTGTGTGTGGAGAAGGGAATGGCTGTGTGTGGAGAAGGGAATGGCTGTGTGCGGAGAAGGGAATGGCTGTGTGTGGAGAAGGGAATGGCTGTGTGCGGAGAAGGGAATGGCTGTGTGTGGAGAAGGGAATGGCTGTGTGTGGAGAAGGGAATGGCTGTGTGTGGAGAAGGGAATGGCTGTGTGTGGAGAAGGGAATGGCTGTGTGTGGAGAAGGGAATGGCTGTGTGCGGAGAAGGGAATGGCTGTGTGCGGAGAAGGGAATGGCTGTGTGTGGAGAAGGGAATGGCTGTGTGCGGAGAAGGGAATGGCTGTGTGTGGAGAAGGGAATGGCTGTGTGTGGAGAAGGGAATGGCTGTGTGTGGAGAAGGGAATGGCTGTGTGTGGAGAAGGGAATGGCTGTGTGTGGAGAAGGGAATGGCTGTGTGTGGAGAAGGGAATGGCTGTGTGTGGAGAAGGGAATGGCTGTGTGCGGAGAAGGGAATGGCTGTGTGTGGAGAAGGGAATGGCTGTGTGTGGAGAAGGGAATGGCTGTGTGTGGAGAAGGGAATGGCTGTGTGCGGAGAAGGGAATGGCTGTGTGCGGAGAAGGGAATGGCTGTGTGTGGAGAAGGGAATGGCTGTGTGCGGAGAAGGGAATGGCTGTGTGTGGAGAAGGGAATGGCTGTGTGTGGAGAAGGGAATGGCTGTGTGTGGAGAAGGGAATGGCTGTGTGTGGAGAAGGGAATGGCTGTGTGTGGAGAAGGGAATGGCTGTGTGCGGAGAAGGGAATGGCTGTGTGCGGAGAAGGGAATGGCTGTGTGTGGAGAAGGGAATGGCTGTGTGCGGAGAAGGGAATGGCTGTGTGTGGAGAAGGGAATGGCTGTGTGTGGAGAAGGGAATGGCTGTGTGTGGAGAAGGGAATGGCTGTGTGTGGAGAAGGGAATGGCTGTGTGTGGAGAAGGGAATGGCTGTGTGTGGAGAAGGGAATGGCTGTGTGCGGAGAAGGGAATGGCTGTGTGTGGAGAAGGGAATGGCTGTGTGTGGAGAAGGGAATGGCTGTGTGCGGAGAAGGGAATGGCTGTGTGTGGAGAAGGGAATGGCTGTGTGTGGAGAAGGGAATGGCTGTGTGTGGAGAAGGGAATGGCTGTGTGCGGAGAAGGGAATGGCTGTGTGTGGAGAAGGGAATGGCTGTGTGCGGAGAAGGGAATGGCTGTGTGCGGAGAAGGGAATGGCTGTGTGTGGAGAAGGGAATGGCTGTGTGCGGAGAAGGGAATGGCTGTGTGTGGAGAAGGGAATGGCTGTGTGTGGAGAAGGGAATGGCTGTGTGTGGAGAAGGGAATGGCTGTGTGTGGAGAAGGGAATGGCTGTGTGTGGAGAAGGGAATGGCTGTGTGTGGAGAAGGGAATGGCTGTGTGTGGAGAAGGGAATGGCTGTGTGCGGAGAAGGGAATGGCTGTGTGTGGAGAAGGGAATGGCTGTGTGTGGAGAAGGGAATGGCTGTGTGTGGAGAAGGGAATGGCTGTGTGCGGAGAAGGGAATGGCTGTGTGCGGAGAAGGGAATGGCTGTGTGTGGAGAAGGGAATGGCTGTGTGCGGAGAAGGGAATGGCTGTGTGTGGAGAAGGGAATGGCTGTGTGTGGAGAAGGGAATGGCTGTGTGTGGAGAAGGGAATGGCTGTGTGTGGAGAAGGGAATGGCTGTGTGTGGAGAAGGGAATGGCTGTGTGCGGAGAAGGGAATGGCTGTGTGCGGAGAAGGGAATGGCTGTGTGTGGAGAAGGGAATGGCTGTGTGCGGAGAAGGGAATGGCTGTGTGCGGAGAAGGGAATGGCTGTGTGTGGAGAAGGGAATGGCTGTGTGCGGAGAAGGGAATGGCTGTGTGTGGAGAAGGGAATGGCTGTGTGCGGAGAAGGGAATGGCTGTGTGTGGAGAAGGGAATGGCTGTGTGCGGAGAAGGGAATGGCTGTGTGCGGAGAAGGGAATGGCTGTGTGTGGAGAAGGGAATGGCTGTGTGTGGAGAAGGGAATGGCTGTGTGCGGAGAAGGGAATGGCTGTGTGTGGAGAAGGGAATGGCTGTGTGCGGAGAAGGGAATGGCTGTGTGTGGAGAAGGGAATGGCTGTGTGCGGAGAAGGGAATGGCTGTGTGCGGAGAAGGGAATGGCTGTGTGTGGAGAAGGGAATGGCTGTGTGCGGAGAAGGGAATGGCTGTGTGTGGAGAAGGGAATGGCTGTGTGTGGAGAAGGGAATGGCTGTGTGTGGAGAAGGGAATGGCTGTGTGTGGAGAAGGGAATGGCTGTGTGTGGAGAAGGGAATGGCTGTGTGCGGAGAAGGGAATGGCTGTGTGCGGAGAAGGGAATGGCTGTGTGTGGAGAAGGGAATGGCTGTGTGCGGAGAAGGGAATGGCTGTGTGTGGAGAAGGGAATGGCTGTGTGTGGAGAAGGGAATGGCTGTGTGTGGAGAAGGGAATGGCTGTGTGTGGAGAAGGGAATGGCTGTGTGTGGAGAAGGGAATGGCTGTGTGCGGAGAAGGGAATGGCTGTGTGTGGAGAAGGGAATGGCTGTGTGTGGAGAAGGGAATGGCTGTGTGCGGAGAAGGGAATGGCTGTGTGTGGAGAAGGGAATGGCTGTGTGTGGAGAAGGGAATGGCTGTGTGTGGAGAAGGGAATGGCTGTGTGCGGAGAAGGGAATGGCTGTGTGCGGAGAAGGGAATGGCTGTGTGTGGAGAAGGGAATGGCTGTGTGCGGAGAAGGGAATGGCTGTGTGTGGAGAAGGGAATGGCTGTGTGTGGAGAAGGGAATGGCTGTGTGTGGAGAAGGGAATGGCTGTGTGTGGAGAAGGGAATGGCTGTGTGTGGAGAAGGGAATGGCTGTGTGCGGAGAAGGGAATGGCTGTGTGTGGAGAAGGGAATGGCTGTGTGTGGAGAAGGGAATGGCTGTGTGTGGAGAAGGGAATGGCTGTGTGCGGAGAAGGGAATGGCTGTGTGCGGAGAAGGGAATGGCTGTGTGTGGAGAAGGGAATGGCTGTGTGCGGAGAAGGGAATGGCTGTGTGTGGAGAAGGGAATGGCTGTGTGTGGAGAAGGGAATGGCTGTGTGTGGAGAAGGGAATGGCTGTGTGTGGAGAAGGGAATGGCTGTGTGTGGAGAAGGGAATGGCTGTGTGCGGAGAAGGGAATGGCTGTGTGCGGAGAAGGGAATGGCTGTGTGTGGAGAAGGGAATGGCTGTGTGCGGAGAAGGGAATGGCTGTGTGTGGAGAAGGGAATGGCTGTGTGTGGAGAAGGGAATGGCTGTGTGTGGAGAAGGGAATGGCTGTGTGTGGAGAAGGGAATGGCTGTGTGTGGAGAAGGGAATGGCTGTGTGCGGAGAAGGGAATGGCTGTGTGTGGAGAAGGGAATGGCTGTGTGTGGAGAAGGGAATGGCTGTGTGCGGAGAAGGGAATGGCTGTGTGTGGAGAAGGGAATGGCTGTGTGTGGAGAAGGGAATGGCTGTGTGTGGAGAAGGGAATGGCTGTGTGCGGAGAAGGGAATGGCTGTGTGTGGAGAAGGGAATGGCTGTGTGTGGGGAAGGGAATGGCTGTGTGTGGAGAAGGGAATGGCTGTGTGTGGAGAAGGGAATGGCTGTGTGTGGGGAAGGGAATGGCTGTGTGTGGAGAAGGGAATGGCTGTGTGTGGGGAAGGGAATGGCTGTGTGTGGAGAAGGGAATGGCTGTGTGTGGGGAAGGGAATGGCTGTGTGTGGAGAAGGGAATGGCTGTGTGTGGAGAAGGGAATGGCTGTGTGTGGAGAAGGGAATGGCTGTGTGTGGAGAAGGGAATGGCTGTGTGTGGGGAAGGGAATGGCTGTGTGTGGAGAAGGGAATGGCTGTGTGTGGGGAAGGGAATGGCTGTGTGTGGAGAAGGGAATGGCTGTGTGTGGGGAAGGGAATGGCTGTGTGTGGAGAAGGGAATGGCTGTGTGTGGAGAAGGGAATGGCTGTGTGTGGAGAAGGGAATGGCTGTGTGCGGAGAAGGGAATGGCTGTGTGTGGAGAAGGGAATGGCTGTGTGTGGAGAAGGGAATGGCTGTGTGTGGAGAAGGGAATGGCTGTGTGCGGAGAAGGGAATGGCTGTGTGTGGAGAAGGGAATGGCTGTGTGTGGGGAAGGGAATGGCTGTGTGTGGAGAAGGGAATGGCTGTGTGTGGAGAAGGGAATGGCTGTGTGTGGGGAAGGGAATGGCTGTGTGTGGAGAAGGGAATGGCTGTGTGTGGGGAAGGGAATGGCTGTGTGTGGAGAAGGGAATGGCTGTGTGTGGGGAAGGGAATGGCTGTGTGTGGAGAAGGGAATGGCTGTGTGTGGAGAAGGGAATGGCTGTGTGTGGAGAAGGGAATGGCTGTGTGTGGAGAAGGGAATGGCTGTGTGTGGGGAAGGGAATGGCTGTGTGTGGAGAAGGGAATGGCTGTGTGTGGGGAAGGGAATGGCTGTGTGTGGAGAAGGGAATGGCTGTGTGTGGGGAAGGGAATGGCTGTGTGTGGAGAAGGGAATGGCTGTGTGTGGAGAAGGGAATGGCTGTGTGTGGAGAAGGGAATGGCTGTGTGTGGGGAAGGGAATGGCTGTGTGTGGAGAAGGGAATGGCTGTGTGTGGGGAAGGGAATGGCTGTGTGTGGAGAAGGGAATGGCTGTGTGTGGGGAAGGGAATGGCTGTGTGTGGAGAAGGGAATGGCTGTGTGTGGGGAAGGGAATGGCTGTGTGTTGGAGAAGGGAATGGCTGTGTGTGGAGAAGGGAATGGCTGTGTGTGGAGAAGGGAATGGCTGTGTGTGGAGAAGGGAATGGCTGTGTGTGGAGAAGGGAATGGCTGTGTGCGGAGAAGGGAATGGCTGTGTGTGGAGAAGGGAATGGCTGTGTGTGGAGAAGGGAATGGCTGTGTGTGGAGAAGGGAATGGCTGTGTGCGGAGAAGGGAATGGCTGTGTGTGGAGAAGGGAATGGCTGTGTGTGGGGAAGGGAATGGCTGTGTGTGGAGAAGGGAATGGCTGTGTGTGGAGAAGGGAATGGCTGTGTGTGGGGAAGGGAATGGCTGTGTGTGGAGAAGGGAATGGCTGTGTGTGGGGAAGGGAATGGCTGTGTGTGGAGAAGGGAATGGCTGTGTGTGGGGAAGGGAATGGCTGTGTGTGGAGAAGGGAATGGCTGTGTGTGGAGAAGGGAATGGCTGTGTGTGGAGAAGGGAATGGCTGTGTGTGGGGAAGGGAATGGCTGTGTGTGGAGAAGGGAATGGCTGTGTGTGGGGAAGGGAATGGCTGTGTGTGGAGAAGGGAATGGCTGTGTGTGGGGAAGGGAATGGCTGTGTGTGGAGAAGGGAATGGCTGTGTGTGGGGAAGGGAATGGCTGTGTGTGGAGAAGGGAATGGCTGTGTGTGGAGAAGGGAATGGCTGTGTGTGGAGAAGGGAATGGCTGTGTGTGGGGAAGGGAATGGCTGTGTGTGGAGAAGGGAATGGCTGTGTGTGGAGAAGGGAATGGCTGTGTGTGGAGAAGGGAATGGCTGTGTGTGGGGAAGGGAATGGCTGTGTGTGGAGAAGGGAATGGCTGTGTGTGGAGAAGGGAATGGCTGTGTGTGGAGAAGGGAATGGCTGTGTGTGGAGAAGGGAATGGCTGTGTGCGGAGAAGGGAATGGCTGTGTGTGGAGAAGGGAATGGCTGTGTGTGGAGAAGGGAATGGCTGTGTGTGGAGAAGGGAATGGCTGTGTGCGGAGAAGGGAATGGCTGTGTGTGGAGAAGGGAATGGCTGTGTGTGGGGAAGGGAATGGCTGTGTGTGGAGAAGGGAATGGCTGTGTGTGGAGAAGGGAATGGCTGTGTGTGGAGAAGGGAATGGCTGTGTGTGGAGAAGGGAATGGCTGTGTGCGGAGAAGGGAATGGCTGTGTGTGGAGAAGGGAATGGCTGTGTGTGGGGAAGGGAATGGCTGTGTGTGGGGAAGGGAATGGCTGTGTGTGGAGAAGGGAATGGCTGTGTGTGGGGAAGGGAATGGCTGTGTGTGGAGAAGGGAATGGCTGTGTGTGGGGAAGGGAATGGCTGTGTGTGGAGAAGGGAATGGCTGTGTGTGGGGAAGGGAATGGCTGTGTGTGGAGAAGGGAATGGCTGTGTGTGGGGAAGGGAATGGCTGTGTGTGGAGAAGGGAATGGCTGTGTGTGGGGAAGGGAATGGCTGTGTGTGGAGAAGGGAATGGCTGTGTGTGGGGAAGGGAATGGCTGTGTGTGGAGAAGGGAATGGCTGTGTGTGGGGAAGGGAATGGCTGTGTGTGGAGAAGGGAATGGCTGTGTGTGGGGAAGGGAATGGCTGTGTGTGGAGAAGGGAATGGCTGTGTGTGGGGAAGGGAATGGCTGTGTGTGGAGAAGGGAATGGCTGTGTGTGGGGAAGGGAATGGCTGTGTGTGGAGAAGGGAATGGCTGTGTGTGGGGAAGGGAATGGCTGTGTGTGGGGAAGGGAATGGCTGTGTGTGGAGAAGGGAATGGCTGTGTGTGGGGAAGGGAATGGCTGTGTGTGGGGAAGGGAATGGCTGTGTGTGGAGAAGGGAATGGCTGTGTGTGGGGAAGGGAATGGCTGTGTGTGGAGAAGGGAATGGCTGTGTGTGGGGAAGGGAATGGCTGTGTGTGGAGAAGGGAATGGCTGTGTGTGGGGAAGGGAATGGCTGTGTGTGGAGAAGGGAATGGCTGTGTGTGGGGAAGGGAATGGCTGTGTGTGGAGAAGGGAATGGCTGTGTGTGGGGAAGGGAATGGCTGTGTGTGGAGAAGGGAATGGCTGTGTGTGGGGAAGGGAATGGCTGTGTGTGGAGAAGGGAATGGCTGTGTGTGGGGAAGGGAATGGCTGTGTGTGGAGAAGGGAATGGCTGTGTGTGGGGAAGGGAATGGCTGTGTGTGGAGAAGGGAATGGCTGTGTGTGGGGAAGGGAATGGCTGTGTGTGGAGAAGGGAATGGCTGTGTGTGGGGAAGGGAATGGCTGTGTGTGGGGAAGGGAATGGCTGTGTGTGGAGAAGGGAATGGCTGTGTGTGGGGAAGGGAATGGCTGTGTGTGGGGAAGGGAATGGCTGTGTGTGGAGAAGGGAATGGCTGTGTGTGGGGAAGGGAATGGCTGTGTGTGGAGAAGGGAATGGCTGTGTGTGGGGAAGGGAATGGCTGTGTGTGGAGAAGGGAATGGCTGTGTGTGGGGAAGGGAATGGCTGTGTGTGGAGAAGGGAATGGCTGTGTGTGGGGAAGGGAATGGCTGTGTGTGGAGAAGGGAATGGCTGTGTGTGGGGAAGGGAATGGCTGTGTGTGGAGAAGGGAATGGCTGTGTGTGGGGAAGGGAATGGCTGTGTGTGGAGAAGGGAATGGCTGTGTGTGGGGAAGGGAATGGCTGTGTGTGGAGAAGGGAATGGCTGTGTGTGGAGAAGGGAATGGCTGTGTGTGGAGAAGGGAATGGCTGTGTGTGGAGAAGGGAATGGCTGTGTGTGGAGAAGGGAATGGCTGTGTGTGGAGAAGGGAATGGCTGTGTGTGGAGAAGGGAATGGCTGTGTGTGGGGAAGGGAATGGCTGTGTGTGGAGAAGGGAATGGCTGTGTGTGGAGAAGGGAATGGCTGTGTGTGGAGAAGGGAATGGCTGTGTGTGGAGAAGGGAATGGCTGTGTGCGGAGAAGGGAATGGCTGTGTGTGGAGAAGGGAATGGCTGTGTGTGGAGAAGGGAATGGCTGTGTGTGGAGAAGGGAATGGCTGTGTGCGGAGAAGGGAATGGCTGTGTGTGGAGAAGGGAATGGCTGTGTGTGGGGAAGGGAATGGCTGTGTGTGGAGAAGGGAATGGCTGTGTGTGGAGAAGGGAATGGCTGTGTGTGGAGAAGGGAATGGCTGTGTGTGGAGAAGGGAATGGCTGTGTGCGGAGAAGGGAATGGCTGTGTGTGGAGAAGGGAATGGCTGTGTGTGGGGAAGGGAATGGCTGTGTGCGGGGAAGGGAATGGCTGTGTGTGGAGAAGGGAATGGCTGTGTGTGGGGAAGGGAATGGCTGTGTGTGGAGAAGGGAATGGCTGTGTGTGGGGAAGGGAATGGCTGTGTGTGGAGAAGGGAATGGCTGTGTGTGGGGAAGGGAATGGCTGTGTGTGGAGAAGGGAATGGCTGTGTGTGGGGAAGGGAATGGCTGTGTGTGGAGAAGGGAATGGCTGTGTGTGGGGAAGGGAATGGCTGTGTGTGGAGAAGGGAATGGCTGTGTGTGGGGAAGGGAATGGCTGTGTGTGGAGAAGGGAATGGCTGTGTGTGGGGAAGGGAATGGCTGTGTGTGGAGAAGGGAATGGCTGTGTGTGGGGAAGGGAATGGCTGTGTGTGGAGAAGGGAATGGCTGTGTGTGGGGAAGGGAATGGCTGTGTGTGGAGAAGGGAATGGCTGTGTGTGGGGAAGGGAATGGCTGTGTGTGGAGAAGGGAATGGCTGTGTGTGGGGAAGGGAATGGCTGTGTGTGGGGAAGGGAATGGCTGTGTGTGGAGAAGGGAATGGCTGTGTGTGGGGAAGGGAATGGCTGTGTGTGGGGAAGGGAATGGCTGTGTGTGGAGAAGGGAATGGCTGTGTGTGGGGAAGGGAATGGCTGTGTGTGGAGAAGGGAATGGCTGTGTGTGGGGAAGGGAATGGCTGTGTGTGGAGAAGGGAATGGCTGTGTGTGGGGAAGGGAATGGCTGTGTGTGGAGAAGGGAATGGCTGTGTGTGGGGAAGGGAATGGCTGTGTGTGGAGAAGGGAATGGCTGTGTGTGGGGAAGGGAATGGCTGTGTGTGGGGAAGGGAATGGCTGTGTGTGGAGAAGGGAATGGCTGTGTGTGGGGAAGGGAATGGCTGTGTGTGGAGAAGGGAATGGCTGTGTGTGGGGAAGGGAATGGCTGTGTGTGGAGAAGGGAATGGCTGTGTGTGGGGAAGGGAATGGCTGTGTGTGGAGAAGGGAATGGCTGTGTGTGGGGAAGGGAATGGCTGTGTGTGGAGAAGGGAATGGCTGTGTGTGGGGAAGGGAATGGCTGTGTGTGGGGAAGGGAATGGCTGTGTGTGGAGAAGGGAATGGCTGTGTGTGGGGAAGGGAATGGCTGTGTGTGGAGAAGGGAATGGCTGTGTGTGGGGAAGGGAATGGCTGTGTGTGGAGAAGGGAATGGCTGTGTGTGGGGAAGGGAATGGCTGTGTGTGGAGAAGGGAATGGCTGTGTGTGGGGAAGGGAATGGCTGTGTGTGGGGAAGGGAATGGCTGTGTGTGGAGAAGGGAATGGCTGTGTGTGGGGAAGGGAATGGCTGTGTGTGGAGAAGGGAATGGCTGTGTGTGGGGAAGGGAATGGCTGTGTGTGGGGAAGGGAATGGCTGTGTGTGGAGAAGGGAATGGCTGTGTGTGGAGAAGGGAATGGCTGTGTGTGGAGAAGGGAATGGCTGTGTGTGGAGAAGGGAATGGCTGTGTGTGGAGAAGGGAATGGCTGTGTGTGGAGAAGGGAATGGCTGTGTGTGGAGAAGGGAATGGCTGTGTGTGGAGAAGGGAATGGCTGTGTGTGGGGAAGGGAATGGCTGTGTGTGGAGAAGGGAATGGCTGTGTGTGGGGAAGGGAATGGCTGTGTGTGGGGAAGGGAATGGCTGTGTGTGGAGAAGGGAATGGCTGTGTGTGGGGAAGGGAATGGCTGTGTGTGGGGAAGGGAATGGCTGTGTGTGGAGAAGGGAATGGCTGTGTGTGGGGAAGGGAATGGCTGTGTGTGGAGAAGGGAATGGCTGTGTGTGGGGAAGGGAATGGCTGTGTGTGGAGAAGGGAATGGCTGTGTGTGGGGAAGGGAATGGCTGTGTGTGGAGAAGGGAATGGCTGTGTGTGGGGAAGGGAATGGCTGTGTGTGGAGAAGGGAATGGCTGTGTGTGGGGAAGGGAATGGCTGTGTGTGGGGAAGGGAATGGCTGTGTGTGGAGAAGGGAATGGCTGTGTGTGGGGAAGGGAATGGCTGTGTGTGGGGAAGGGAATGGCTGTGTGTGGAGAAGGGAATGGCTGTGTGTGGGGAAGGGAATGGCTGTGTGTGGAGAAGGGAATGGCTGTGTGTGGGGAAGGGAATGGCTGTGTGTGGAGAAGGGAATGGCTGTGTGTGGGGAAGGGAATGGCTGTGTGTGGAGAAGGGAATGGCTGTGTGTGGGGAAGGGAATGGCTGTGTGTGGAGAAGGGAATGGCTGTGTGTGGGGAAGGGAATGGCTGTGTGTGGAGAAGGGAATGGCTGTGTGTGGGGAAGGGAATGGCTGTGTGTGGGGAAGGGAATGGCTGTGTGTGGAGAAGGGAATGGCTGTGTGTGGGGAAGGGAATGGCTGTGTGTGGGGAAGGGAATGGCTGTGTGTGGGGAAGGGAATGGCTGTGTGTGGAGAAGGGAATGGCTGTGTGTGGGGAAGGGAATGGCTGTGTGTGGAGAAGGGAATGGCTGTGTGTGGGGAAGGGAATGGCTGTGTGTGGAGAAGGGAATGGCTGTGTGTGGGGAAGGGAATGGCTGTGTGTGGAGAAGGGAATGGCTGTGTGTGGGGAAGGGAATGGCTGTGTGTGGAGAAGGGAATGGCTGTGTGTGGGGAAGGGAATGGCTGTGTGTGGGGAAGGGAATGGCTGTGTGTGGAGAAGGGAATGGCTGTGTGTGGGGAAGGGAATGGCTGTGTGTGGAGAAGGGAATGGCTGTGTGTGGGGAAGGGAATGGCTGTGTGTGGAGAAGGGAATGGCTGTGTGTGGGGAAGGGAATGGCTGTGTGTGGAGAAGGGAATGGCTGTGTGTGGGGAAGGGAATGGCTGTGTGTGGAGAAGGGAATGGCTGTGTGTGGGGAAGGGAATGGCTGTGTGTGGGGAAGGGAATGGCTGTGTGTGGAGAAGGGAATGGCTGTGTGTGGGGAAGGGAATGGCTGTGTGTGGAGAAGGGAATGGCTGTGTGTGGGGAAGGGAATGGCTGTGTGTGGAGAAGGGAATGGCTGTGTGTGGGGAAGGGAATGGCTGTGTGTGGAGAAGGGAATGGCTGTGTGTGGGGAAGGGAATGGCTGTGTGTGGGGAAGGGAATGGCTGTGTGTGGAGAAGGGAATGGCTGTGTGTGGGGAAGGGAATGGCTGTGTGTGGAGAAGGGAATGGCTGTGTGTGGGGAAGGGAATGGCTGTGTGTGGAGAAGGGAATGGCTGTGTGTGGGGAAGGGAATGGCTGTGTGTGGAGAAGGGAATGGCTGTGTGTGGAGAAGGGAATGGCTGTGTGTGGAGAAGGGAATGGCTGTGTGTGGAGAAGGGAATGGCTGTGTGTGGAGAAGGGAATGGCTGTGTGTGGAGAAGGGAATGGCTGTGTGTGGAGAAGGGAATGGCTGTGTGTGGAGAAGGGAATGGCTGTGTGTGGGGAAGGGAATGGCTGTGTGTGGAGAAGGGAATGGCTGTGTGTGGGGAAGGGAATGGCTGTGTGTGGGGAAGGGAATGGCTGTGTGTGGAGAAGGGAATGGCTGTGTGTGGAGAAGGGAATGGCTGTGTGTGGGGAAGGGAATGGCTGTGTGTGGAGAAGGGAATGGCTGTGTGTGGGGAAGGGAATGGCTGTGTGTGGAGAAGGGAATGGCTGTGTGTGGGGAAGGGAATGGCTGTGTGTGGAGAAGGGAATGGCTGTGTGTGGGGAAGGGAATGGCTGTGTGTGGGGAAGGGAATGGCTGTGTGTGGAGAAGGGAATGGCTGTGTGTGGGGAAGGGAATGGCTGTGTGTGGAGAAGGGAATGGCTGTGTGTGGGGAAGGGAATGGCTGTGTGTGGAGAAGGGAATGGCTGTGTGTGGGGAAGGGAATGGCTGTGTGTGGAGAAGGGAATGGCTGTGTGTGGGGAAGGGAATGGCTGTGTGTGGGGAAGGGAATGGCTGTGTGTGGAGAAGGGAATGGCTGTGTGTGGGGAAGGGAATGGCTGTGTGTGGAGAAGGGAATGGCTGTGTGTGGGGAAGGGAATGGCTGTGTGTGGAGAAGGGAATGGCTGTGTGTGGGGAAGGGAATGGCTGTGTGTGGAGAAGGGAATGGCTGTGTGTGGAGAAGGGAATGGCTGTGTGTGGAGAAGGGAATGGCTGTGTGTGGAGAAGGGAATGGCTGTGTGTGGAGAAGGGAATGGCTGTGTGTGGAGAAGGGAATGGCTGTGTGTGGAGAAGGGAATGGCTGTGTGTGGAGAAGGGAATGGCTGTGTGTGGAGAAGGGAATGGCTGTGTGTGGAGAAGGGAATGGCTGTGTGTGGAGAAGGGAATGGCTGTGTGTGGAGAAGGGAATGGCTGTGTGTGGAGAAGGGAATGGCTGTGTGTGGAGAAGGGAATGGCTGTGTGTGGAGAAGGGAATGGCTGTGTGTGGAGAAGGGAATGGCTGTGTGTGGAGAAGGGAATGGCTGTGTGTGGAGAGGGAATGGCTTGAGAAGGGAATGGCTGTGTGTGGAGAAGGGGAATGGCTGTGTGTGGAGAA